TCGAACCTTTTCCCGAATTGCAATGGCCGAACCTTTTCCCGGCAAACTATAAGCAACCAGCCGCCACTGGTTTTGGAATTTGGTGGTAAGGCCTGCGATGTTGCAAGCACCAACCCCTTGAGCTTAGCATCCCATTCTCCACTAGGATGCTGCTGGCCTTGTCTTCATCCTGGAGGGCAACTCAAGGATAATACCTGACCAGGAAAGCTATGCCTACCGCGCTGTCTTGCAGGCCGAGCGCTGTAGGCACTAAGCGGTCCGCAAGGATTGCCGTTCCCATTTCTGCTAAGTGGGTGTGTCAAAACAGGGGCCAAACGGGGCTTCTACTTTGGGAAAAAAACAAATTCGTTCGATTCGCCGATGCCAGGCCACTCATCTGGATCCGCAGCTGGAGTCTCCCTCTGCCCTGGGGGCGCGGCTGCAGAATTCGGAGCTACTGGGCCTGGCGATGCAGCTCAAGTCTTTGGACTTTGAGGAGCGGCCTGAGCGACGTTCAAAGCTGAGCGTTGCACAAATTTGGGTGCGCATGTTGTGAGGTTGGACCCACCAAATTGGTGAAGTTCCTTTTGGTTTCCCTTTAAAGCCACCAAAAACAGGTGTACCCTCCAAAAAAAGACACCCCCATTTGTTGATAGGCGTTGGGGATTGAAGGGTATCTTAGAACCCCTTAGGTCGTCGGTGTAGTTCTGGCTTGCTGATCTTCAATTCGACAGCTTTTCATCCTGAGATTTCGGCTGTTGAATGTGAAGTGTGCTGCACGCAATTCCTTTGCAGCCGTGTTTATCATCTTGACTCGTCTTTTTGGGGGTTTCTCCGTCTTAAAGGCAGCGTGAAACTGCGGGAGGCATGATGCAAGAAGTTGCTGTAGGGAGAACCATGTGTAGCGCTACAAGGTTGCATTACCAGCGCTGCACAGGAAAACACACAAGGGAAGATTGTCCTGCACTTTGCGCCTGAGCCGGTTGGCGTTTCCAAGTGCTTCTGTGGTTGCACGGCTTCCTCCTGAAACTTGCGAACGGTGAACTATATCAGGTGTGCATAAAGATGTCAGCATCGTTTAAGCACTGCTTAGGGATTGGGATCCATTTTGGATGGCACAAGGAAGGACGCCTCACCTGGATAGTAGCCTTCAGGAGCGCAATACCTTCTGGCCCCTCTGTGCCGACATGGACAGCGACGATGCTCGGAGAGGTGTTTCATGTTGGGCGGGGTGGCTCGTGAACAATTAGGTAGGGATCAACAGCCCATGAGTGAGAGTTGCTTGTTAGTTTGTTGCTTGGATTGCCCTGCAACATGCTCTCACGTGGGCGCTTAAAATGGCCCGCCTGGTGCGTTTCAAGTGTAGGAGCCAGGCTTGGGTCTTTCATCATTTCGCACAACTTCATGCTTATCCAACCAGCGGTGGTCTCCCTTTTTTTACCTATCCTCCCACCAAGCATGGAAGAGCACAGGCTGCTTTTCCCTTTCGAAAAGAAGACCGTGCATGTTTTTTGAGATAGGTAGATCTCCATTTTTTCCCAGACCTATGCAATACCCAGCCAACAACGACAAAACATAAAGGGAACACCTGAAATAACCGCCATCTTCACACCTTGCCCGGGACAAACTCCAAGCCTCGTGGGGGTTCCCCCAAATTCCGGTTTTTCGGATCTTCCGAGAGATCCGAAACGAAACGCAGCGAAGCGAAGCGAAGCTGAGGTCTACCAGGGCTTCGGCCTGGTGCATCTGGGCACCGCGGCCTCGGCCAACCTCCGGGAGCTGCTGCCGATCGACAGCTGCCAGGACGCCAGGCCGGCGGGTCTGCGGGTCGGATGGGCGGGGGCGCCAGACGGGAAGGGGGCGGGGGGGGGGTGGGTGGCAGTTCTACATGGTGTTTGTTGCGGTTTAGGGTTTATTCCAACGTGCTTGGACACTAGGATCTAAAGCCAGCTAAGGCATGCAGGTTGAGGACCAAAAGCGGAGTGAACGCTCGCAGACAGTCCAGAGAAGAATGTCGAGAGTCACACACCTTAAGTTGCTTAATTTAGTTGCCACAGGAGCGAAAGAGCATCCTGCCAGGAGATTCTGCTTCAACGGCAGCCTGCCACTTCGCACTTTGTGGCGTCTCAGAGCTTTGTGCCCTGTGACCTGTGGCTGTGCAAGCGTGCAGGCTGGCCGCGCAAGCGTGGTTGGCTTTTGGCTTGGCTCGGATGTAGGATTTACTCGCGTTGGAATTGGGTTGGTTGAATGTCGTGCTAGGCTAAAATGGGCCCCCACGAAGATAATAGAAGAAGCTCATTGTTCAGGTAGCCATCACGTCACGTTTTCTGGAGCAGGGGGAATGGGCCCCCTTTTTTGTAGAGCCCACGTCGATTTGGGGAGTCAACGCTCCGCCAGTGGCCGTGGACGGCGCCCTTACTCGTTCAAGACCGACCTTTGGGTTTGTGTAACTGGTTTGTCTAGCTGGTTTGTTTCACCAGCTCAGTTGAACATTTTGAGCCGTCGGTTTGACTGATTTTCAGCCTGAGCCTTTGGACTGGTTTGCTTCGCTGTGCACGGTTTGACTTTCAAGTTTCACTTTGTTGCCAACCGCGCAAAACTCCGCTCGCCGGCCTACGCTGCCACCACGGCCTACGAGAGGCGGGGAGCTTCGTGGCCAACTCCCCGTCCTTCGGGTGCCCCGCGGTGTGCCTCGCCGCCTTCGAGAAGAGCCTCCAGCAGCTGGGCTGTGCGGACCTGGCGCCGCACCATGTGGCACTCAGGTGGGGGAGGGGGGGTGAGGGGGGGAGGTGGGTTTGCTTGTATGTGCCCTCGCGTTTTAGTTGGTTTGAAATGGAGGCCAAAGGGAAACCGGGAACTGTCTTTTTTTTGGATCTCGGGTCATGAGCTTGACTGTTGCTGGGGAGGGGTTCAAAGTGAGACGCTTCCCGCGAACCTACCATGAGATGACAAACCAATGGGGCCAGTGTAGTAGTAGGAGGAAGGAAAAGGACCTATGCCATGAAAGTAGTGGGGAACATCCTCCAAAATTGGTGAGCACAAATGTCCCGTGTACATGATGGAGCCGGACCCACCCTTTCAGGGTTGCCTCCGCTTGGCTGGCCAGACGGCCAATTTCGAGTGACCACTTCATTCATATTTGGCCGATCGATTTAGCAGATTCCCTGGCGCAGCCCTGATTTCTGGGCTTTGGCACAATGGCGTACGATATGGGACTGTTTGGAGCCAAACGGTTTGTAGCGGCTTTTGCTGCATGCCCCGTATGTCACTCCAGAGGCTATGGAGCCCTGTCTCTTACTGGTCCTTCCATTTTGTTTCGAGGGGTTTGTCGACTTTCCCTTGCCATGAGGTACCCCAAATTCCGTGCAGATGTTGAATCTTGAATGGCGGCAAGAGCCCTGCATATCCGGCTCCCCACGACCAACACAAAAGCAAGGCTGGCTTTCGAGAAGCAGTTTTGCTTGGCCTCTGTTTGTGTCCCGCCAGCTTTCCCAGGGCCTACATCGGCGGCCTATCGGAGCGGAAGGGGGTCTTTGGGAACTTCAGTAGCTGCCCGGACTTCCAGCAACCAATTACAATCGATGGAACGGAATTCAACTTCTGCACGCAAAGCATGGAGCTGAAAAAGATGGGCTTTCAGTCAGCCCAGCTTCTTTGCCCAGAATCATGTGGCTGCAAGGGGCTGTCTGGCTCGCAATGCCCACAGGCCTGCACCAATTAGAGTGAATTGCGGGCTGAATGGCGCACACGCTGCCAATCTCAGTGCGTGACGACTATTCGGCCTGTGGTCAATACATTTTCGCCCTCCAAGCGCTCCTTCTCAGGCCTTACTCCCCACATAAAAGTGCGTTGTGTGCAATGTGGTTCTGTATGATTGAGGCATTCCACGCAAGCCTTAAATTAAATTCGATGGCGGGGCTGGCCTGAAATGATGGGCTCGTAGGAAAAGGGACTGTTGCATGGGCACATGGACGCTGTCAGCATTGGCCTGTCCATTTGCAGCTTTGCCAGCCCACCACCAAGTGGCAGGGCCAGATGTTCTTCGCCCAAAGCGGGCGAGGCTGCTCAGCTGACCTCAGTCAGACACTCCCTGGCACGTGAAGCGGCACTGATGTGCTCATTTGGTCTTGTAACTGTTTGCATTCCACGTTTGCGGATGAGAACGCAAAACACATAGTCTGACCAAATATGGAGCATGTACGTGCGCAATTCGAGCCGGAGAGGACGCGACGAAGCGACACGGAACTAATTGAGCGTGGCGCCAAATTGCCAGGGGCGTCGGACCTTTTCCTCGTACGCACCTGATCAAACATGGGCCTGCCATGAACTTGCAACCGCTCTCGCCCATGATTCCTGCAGTTTCGGGGTGGCCGTTATCATGTGGGGGTTGATCAATATTCCTGGCCACCAGATGACCATAGGTATCTCCCACTTGGTGGAAAATATCATCCTTTTGGTGATTTTCCCCAATGGTCTGCCACGTAAAGGACCCTTTGATCAACCCGTATGTGGAAGCTTTTGCCAAGCATCCAAGCTGCCCATGAACTTCCAGGCCAAATGAAGCCCTCCAAGGGCAAACAAACACCGCCTGCATGTGTTCAAACAGCATCTGCACTTGATGAAACTCTTTCATGTGCCGACGCCCAAGCAAACTTTGAGACTCTGAGGATCCATACCAGGCGTGTTGTTTTGAATAGCAGCGCAAGAAGAGAACTCCTTGGAGACATCAATCAACTCCAAGTCCTTTGGCTTCCGGAAGCTGCCCAGATCCTGATAGGATCTGTTGGCGTGACGTTGTCCAATGGTTTTGTTATGAATTGCTTGGCAAGCAGCGTGTCCTCCGATGACTTTTTTGCTATCCATGCTATGAGTGAAGGATTGCATCAGTTGGCGAGATTGCAGACAACGTTGCTTCCCACCATTGACAGAAGGAGATTTCACAAGCCATAAACGGCACCACATATGAAGAAGCAGCTTCAATTGCTGAAGCGTATGTCAAGTGTTTGTTCCGAAACCTCCAGGCACAGCGGGATTCTCTCTTAGAGGAGCCAGGGGCTTAAGCTTCAAGCACCTGCCGCAGGATTTTCTTGCGCCCACCTTTCAGCATCAGCACGTCACGATTCGTTTGCTCTCATGATCCTGTTGCTTTGGCTACTGCCCCATATCCATGCAGCACGCGGATGTACGGCACCCAAGGCTGAACAATGCTTCGGCCAGGCCGCAAGGCTGGGTGTGATGCCTGGCAGTTTGATTGGCACAGCTTGCAGACATGCAGCACGTCACCAGCAACATTTTAATCCCAGGGTTCAACACACAATTGTTGAGGATGGGGACTCTTTTTGTTTAGCAATCTGCAAAGATCACTGTGTATCAGGGCCACAATGGCTCAGTGCGAGCGGAGGCAAACCTCTTGCCGGATCCGACGAGTCCGAGGAATTGCAGGCGGGATGTGGTTTGAGTATAGACAAAGTGGCCAAACCATGGGATCCTACGCATCCAAGATCTTGGACGCATGGTCCAACCCAGAGAAAGTGGAAGAAGGTGAGAAAGAGCATCCCCCTCGTCCTGGTCATGCATTGTTTCTTGGTGACAAATCAGGTTGCCTGCGTTGCAAAGAGGGCTAGGCAAGCCCTTGATGTCTGCACAGTCCACTGGGCTTATGACAATCCTGAGGCACTACGAGGTAAAGTAGTCTTGCTGGAGGCCGGCCGTGAGGAAGCAGAGTTACAGGCCGGCGGTGCGGGGTAGCGCAGGGGCGGTGATGAGTGAATCCGGATGGTGGGCTATGACTTTGCTGGCTTGGTCTACGGCTTTGCGGTTTTCTTCGGTCTTCTGACTTGGTCAGCTTGTTTTCTGTGCGTGCTTTTTTGGTTGCTTGGTTTGCTTGACAGGGCGCGGGTGAGATTTGCACGCCTGGCTTGCTTGGTTTGTCGGCTTTGTTGATTGGTTCGGGTTGCTCCAATTGCCGCGGTTGCCATATTTTTTGAGATTGTTTTGGTCAGTCGCCGTTTCGTGATCTTTAGTTGTTAATTGCTGTTTGTTTGATTGGCTGGGTTTTGTTTGCTCGATGTTGGGTTGATTGGCTTGTTGGGCCGGATAAAGCTGTTTTCCTGGATGCCAAAGGAATCTCCGAATTCTCCTCCAAGCATACCGTGTATCTTATTTCAGGGCCCGGTGCCGGTGCGTGCGCCAAAATCCTTGCCTTAGCTTCTATGCGCTTTGTGTGCGTGTCTTTATGTGGCATAGAGGCGATTGACCTTTGGTGCGTAAACTTGCTACCCTTGGGCACGTCCCTGAGTTGTATTCAGTTTCACTGTGTCCTAATCAGTTTCTGATGCGTACAATGTCGAGCACCCGGCCAGCTCGCCAGGCCGAATTGCTTCGCACCAAGTACCAGACTTTAGAGGCAGAACTGGAGGACGGGACTTGGGGCGCGGTCGGCTTTTGCAAAAAGAGGGGTTGGGCCAGCTCCTGGCTCAAGCATGTTTTTTGTTTTCATGCTTTTTTGGAGCAACCTTCTCTTGGTTTCAATCCCTTTCAAGCATCAGCAAGTCCCAGCCTGACTTGGTGTAGAGCTCGAATTATCGGGATGAATCAGTTTCACATGAATCTAACTAACTTGTGTCCAAGACTGGGTCAAGGCCGGGTTGCTTTCCTGAGAATCCCTGATCGCTGAACATCAATTGACATGGCTTTGTTAAGGATGGCACGTGGCTGGTCTGAGGCAAAGGGTAGCTTTCTTTGCATGCACACGTGCTGATTTGCAGCGCTTCCGGCAAGCATCTGCAAACATCTGCAAACCATGGGATGGGGACCGGGTGCCAGGATGCAGAAACAGCCCTTGGGGCTTGGCAGAAGCGACTCCCCACAAAGAGCAGGCCAGCAATGAATGGAGTGGCCTGCAGGAGATGCAGCAGGATTCCTCCAATCACGTGGATTCAGCAGCTGCTAGGGGGCTTTCCCTTCAGGTGCCTCGGATGGACTGGATGGCGGGGGGGTGTCCCTGATAATCCAATTTGGCTGAACTGCTCTCAATTTGGCTCTTTCTTTGCGTGGCTTGCTGCATGTGCCTAACCGCACATCCAGCACGGATTACACTTGCGAGCTGCACTCCCAGCTTTGCAAAGGAAACGAGGATGTGTCATGATGTGTCACTGCCCTTATTCAGTCCATGCAGGCTAGCCCACCTGGAGGGTCCAGATTCAATTGTTGGCAACGCTCGCCCACTGATCTCACGGCAGATGTTGGCCGCGTAAGGCCCCTAGGAGAGCACTTTCCTCTTGCAACTGATGGCACAGTGAGCTAAAACACTCGACCGTACCATGCGCAGGTCTTTGAACACAGCCGAGCAATAACGTTTTCCGCAACACCCAGCTTCAGATCGGCAAGTGCTTCAACTATAAGGCCGCCAGGAATACACACCCAACAGAGGCAGAAGAGATAGAGGTGCCACAAAATGCTGGAAAAACATGTGCGTTGCAGAAACTGGGTCCATTAAACTGACATCCTCAAGACTACCCTCTAAGTTACCCCTTAAAATTAAACCACCTGGAATTGGAGCGCAGGTTTTGGTCCATGTTTCCACTTACCAGGGCAAGCCATTTTGGGGTCTTGACCCACAGCCATCTGCTTCCTCATTCAGTTTCACTTACGACCCCTGTCATGCGGATTCATGCCCGCCCATTGATGTCATAGTCTTCTTAGGGTAGCTTCCCCACAGCCACATGTTCCCAGAGACTCCGCCACTCGGATTCCAGAGGCGGAGGAGCTGCGACGGCAGCTGCAGCAGCAGGTGCAGGAGCGAGGCAAGCTGGAGGCGGAGCTGGCCAGGCGCTGGTCGCTTTGGAAGTTCTCTTGACTGCTATTGGGTTGGATCTTTAGACTTTTTCTTTTTTGATAGAAATCAAGTTGGGTTCTCCAGTTAACCCCCAAAAAGTTAAACTTTTTGCAGGGGGCTCAACAGCAACCAAGTTCTGGGCATCTGGGTTAGCACGGGTCAAAGGCCTGGGGGGGGCGTTTTCTTGGGGTGGCTTACGCGTTTCAAGGATGCTGTGGCGTGCTTTCGTTAGTTCACCCATGCTAGTGGATGAACCATGGCCAGCTTGCGGGTGTTTATTTGCATTGCCTGCGGCAAGCTGCTTGTCTGCATGATCGGACAATGCAGTTGTCAGAGCGGCGCATTAATTATGCATACAGATGGCGCACACTTTGAGGGATGCCACACACATACATATATACACATGCAGGCATACATGCGCAGCGCACACACATACATACATACATACATACATACATACATACATACATACATACATACATACATACATACATACATACATACATACATACATACATACATACATACATACATACATACATACATACATACATACATACATACATACATACATTACATACATACGTATGATACGTACGTACATACATACAAGCAGACAGACAGACAGACAGAGAGACATACACACGCATACATAACATACCGTACCGTACCGTACCTACCACACCACACCACACCACACCACACCACACCACACCACACCACACCACACCACACCACACCACACCACACCACACCACACCACACCACACCACACCACACCACACCACACCACACACACACACACCACACCACACCACACCACACCACACACACACACACACACACACCACACACACACCACACCACACCACACCACACCACACCACACCACACCACACCACACCACACCACACCACACCACACCACACCACACCACACCACACCACACCACACCATCCCTCCCTACCTATCTACCTACATCCCTACCTACATAAATACATACATACATACATACATACATACATACATACATACATACACACACATATACGCACACATACAAACACATGTATACATGCATACGTGCAAGCATGCATGCATACATATACACATACGCACATACACAGACACACGCATAAACACGCATACACACACATACATACATATGCATATACATATGCATTTTCATATACATATACCTTTATGCATACATACATTGCATACATACATGCATGCATACATACATACGTACATACACAGATACAAAGATACGCATATACACAGGCATGCATGAATACATACATGCATACACACATGTACACATACACACATACATACATTACATTCCGTTACGTTGCGTTACATTGCACTACATATACATACATACATACATACATACATACATACATACATACATACATACATACATACATACATACATACATACATACATACACGCACACACGTACGTACGTACGTACGCACATACATACATTCATACATGCATGCATGCATGCATGCATACTTATACCTACCTACCTACCTGCCTATCTACCTACCTGCCTACCTGCCTACCTGCCTGCCTGCCTACCTACCTACCTACCTACACACCTACAGACAAGCACCATTCATATATGCGCCTTTTTTACGCTATGCATGCATAGCGTCATCAAGTCCACACATGCATGCATGCATGCAGGCATGCATGCATGTGGACAGTGGTACGCGTGTGCACCCATTTTTGTATACGTGCATACCCGCCGATCTATTTACCTATCTACCTGCCTACCTACCTACAAACCCACCCACCCGGCATGTTGGTATGCCTGTTTATTTACGCACGTGCACACGCATGTGTGTATACGTACGTTCGTGCCAAAGGGAATTTATCGCTTCTGGACATATTTTAGATGTTTTCCAGGGGGCAACAAGGCAAATGGAAGGCAAGGGTAGGTGAACCTCTGGGCTTTCAACGTAGAGCCAGGCTGAGGGCAGAGGAGCTCGCTCTGCACGCTGAGGTGGAGGACCCTGGCGGGAGGGGCCAACGGCCAGTCGCCCCACTGAAGAATCGGTCATGATGAGGGGGCAGCTGAGTCTTGGTGCGCTATTTGAAGACCAAACATGACCCTGATGTGTGTCTGTCTTCTCTGGTGCTTTTCTGGGCTTGTCGGATGCAGATGTTCTGCCCCCGGGGTGCGTCGCAGAATCTCACGTCTTGAAAGCACAAAGTGCCGTGAGCCCTCAGGTCATTCAGAGGTCGTAGGCCGCCACGGGTAGACCGCAAGGAGCTGCGTGCAGCAACAGTGTCGAGCCCGACGGCAGAGAATCCCTTGACGGCCGCGGAGCGGTGGGTGCCGCGACCGCAGTCGTTGCCACCAGACGGGTGGGTGGCAGAATTCACGGAATCACAAAACGAAGGCATCAGGGCAACATTCGGCCAACACAACAAGATCAGTGTCACGCGTGCTGGCCTGTGGCAGCTGAACATGTCTGCCAGAGTTCAGTGAGCCTTATCCTGCCGCTGTTGAAATGCAAGCCAGGCAGCTTCATCCAATTTCTGTCGTGTAGGCCAGGGAGTTTGGGAAGATGCGCTTTGCGTAGCCTCCCCGATGCGTCGGCACTCGTGTTGAAGGAGGTTGATCTTGGTGCCTCGGAACAGTCTACACCGAGGTGTTGTACACAGAGGTGCCCAAGGTCGAGGGCACGCCGAGCCTTCAGCTTAGAGTCTTCGTTCGTTCGGTGTTTTTTCTATGGTTTTCATTGATTCAGGGATGACTTGGGGCACACAAGCAGGGATGTGGTTTCAGGGATGTGGGGAAGCCCATGGTTTCAAGGTGACTTGTTGATTTGGGGATTGAGGAGAGCCGGTGCGACTACTTTTCCCTCACTGAGGCATGACGTACTTTGGAAAGATCAAGGTTGATTTCGATGATGAGGACCGCCGATTGTTTGACCCGCAGGTGCAAGGTAAAATACTCCAGAATCAACGCATTTTGCCGCCGCTTTTCACGTGGTTCGGGCATACAGACTGGGTTGACAGCTGCACAGCTACGTCCGTCTGAAGGGCCATTGAGCTCGGGCCCCGCTAACCTGGTTCGACTGGAAGCAGCTGATCCATGCAGAGAACCGACCCACCTTCCGTGGCCCTCAATTATGGGGGCTTCAATGGCTCCAAAGGTGCACGAGAGAAATTATCTGGAAATATCTTGAAATCAATCCCATGGTGCGCCGAAAAAATGGTGATAAGTTGGTTTGTGCCTGTGCATCATGGCCACACCACGTACGCTGGTTGTAAGTTGGTAAGTTTCGGTGTTTGCTCATAGCCCACATCCCGAACCACCACCGAGCAGTATCCTGGCAAACCCAGAGAATCAATGTTGCTCGTTGTATTGGCAAGGCCGAAGGCGCTGTGTGGAGTGCAGAAAGCATTTGCCAACCATCAACTAAACATGTGGCCCCATGCCCTTTATCCATCCATGCCCACATGACATACGCACGAATCTGGTATTGCCCGCACTCTTTCAGCTGGTGTCGCAAAAAGTATGTTCATGCAGGCACAACGGCAGGGAGAGTGAGAGAGAGAGAATCCGTACGCAGCAACAAAACCAGCAGCCGGACCCAATTGTCGGAGGCTTCATTGACTAAGGTGCGCCACAAGTGCCACAACAAAAACGTGATGGACCAACCATACGTGGGTGCTGCCGCCCTTGTAATTATTTTCGTAGTGTTGGGTGGTTTTGATCATGACTCGCAAGGTTTGTTCCATGTTGCTTGCTGACCTTTGTAATGGGCATTCATTTGACAAGGCAAGCAGCTATAAACCTGTGCAGGGACCGCTGTGCGGCATCAACATTGGACAGCGACGGCCAATATGCCGTAGCCATATTAGCAGGACTCGGGACTCCCACTTTAACATATCCGACGTGCGCATTTCAATTCTGAAGCACATGTGCCTGGGCCATGAGTATAAAACCACCCAAAACATCGGCAAGTCAGCCACACTTCCATTGCCTCAATAACATAATGTGCCTCAATCATATCATATTATGAGTGTTAATGTTTTCTTGTTGGGTTCTATTTCGTAGTGGACCTGTTCTTCTCACTGTCCCCTGGGAAAACTCGGGAAAATTCAAAAAAGCAAACAACAAAAAACAAGGAAACTAACAAAAAAAACAAAAAAACGCACCTGGGGCAGCCCACAGTCCCGGGCGCAGGCGCTGGGCTTGGGCCCCTTGGCCTCGGTGAACTTCGCCCAGCGCGCCGCCGCCTCCGCGGCCGTGGAGCGGGGCGACGCGCTGAGGGCGGCGCTGCGCCACTTCCGCGAAGCGGGGGGCGAGACCTCCCTGGCGCCTCGAAAAACTGCGGGGGTCTGGGGGTTTTGGGGGGTCTTGGGGGTCGGGGGGGTCTTGGCGGTCTGGGGGTCTGGGGTTTGGGTTTTGGGGGTCTGGGTCTGGGGGGTTTGAGGGGTCTGGGGATTTTGGGGGTTTTGGGGTTCTGGGAGTTCTAGGGCGTTTGAGGGGGGGGGGGGGTCTGGGGGTCTGAGGGGGTCTGGAGCCAAGGCGTCTGTGGGGCCTGAGGGGTCTGGGTGTCACTGGGGTTCTGGTGAACCGAACGCAAAGCACCTAGGACAATACCAGCGATACCAGCGCTTGAAAAGCCCGGAACTTAATCAACATAGAAAGCATGAGCCAAGCTACCAGCGGACACGCTGGGCATTCGACCGGGTCCCGCGAACTGGGTGCGTCAAGTTTCTTTTGGGACCCAGAGGGTTCCTTTTGAACCATCATCTCGAGGCGTGTTTCGGACTCAGCAGTCCTTGGATGGGCTTGCGTGCTGGCATGTCTTTTGTTTGTTTGTTTGTTTGTTTCCTGGTTTGTTTGCTCGCTTGTTTGTTCGTTTGTTTGTGTCTACTTGATTGCTTGCTTGCTTGCTTGCTTGCTTGCTTATTTGTTTGTGTGTTTGCTTGCTTGCTTGCTTGCTTGTTTGTTTGTTTGTTTGTTTGTTTGTTCGTTTGTTTGTTTGTTTGTTGGCTTGTTTCTTGTGTGTGTTTGTTCACGCTGTTTGTATTTATTGTTTGTTTGTGCGGGGTCGCGTGTTTGTTTGTTTGGGTTTGTTTGTTTGATTGATTGATTGGTTGATTGGTTGATTGATTGATTGATTGATTGATTGGTTGATTGATTGATTGATTGTTTGTTTTGTGTTTTGTTTTAGTTTGTGTGTGTGTGATCATGCTGTTTGTATTTGTATTGTTTGTTTGTGCGGGGGCGTTTGCTTGTTTGTTTGGGTTTTTGTTTGTTTGTTTGTTTGATATTTTGGCGTGTGTGTGTGTGTGTGTGTGTGTGTTGGATCATGCTGTCTGTATTTGTATTGTTTGTTTGTGCGGGGTCGCTTGCTTGTTTATTTATTATTATTATTATTATGGTTATTATTATTATTTGTCTTGCTTTGTCGTGTTTGTGTTTTTGTTGTGTGTGTTGTGCTACACGGTGTTTGTTTGCTTGATTGTTTGAGTGCTTGCTTGCTCGCTTGCTTGGTTTGCAGGCCTGCTTGTTTTGTTTGTTTGCAGGTTGGTTTGTTTTGTTGCTTTGTGTGTGTGTGTGTGTGTTTGCGGTAGTGTGTTTGGGTGCCGTGAGGGTTTGCGTGTGCGGTTTTGTGGTTGCATGTTTGCGTGTCCGTCTGTTTGTGTTGCGCAGTTGTGCAGTTGTGTGGTTGTGTTTTGTGAGTGTGTTGTCTAGTTTGTTTTGGCTGGTTCATGTTGTTGTTTTTCTTGCGGGAGGGTGTGTGCGTGTGTGTCTGTTTGTGTTCGTGCGCGTTTGTGTTTGTATCCGGGTGCTTGCTTCAGTCACATCGCGTCATATGCGGGTGCGTGTTTTTCGCGTGCGATTCTGTAGGAGTAGTTGCAAGCTACAACTACGACCTGTTGAGGTCGGTGATGTATTGAAAACTTTCTGCCAGCCCCATGGCCCCCGCCTAGAGTCCAAGTGCTTTCCACCCAGGATCCCAAGGCGCTGCGGGACTTTCTGACCAAGGTTTTCCAAGAGCATGGGCTGACACCGCCCCTGGAACCACATATCAAGGCGAGCACGGGGAAAGACGAACAACACAAATGGGTCTCATGGTTATGACTGGGACCTTAGCTCGCTTGCCCAAAGCCGGCCTTTTGACCTTCCAGGTTCCCGTGTTTGGTCCATGAAACGCCAGCGTTCCAGGTTTCACCAAAATGCAGATGCCTTCTGACAGGCGAGGCCACGAGATTGGTGAGAGCTCCTTTGCGGTGTCCAGCAGGTATGCTTGGAAGTGTGACACAGACAGGGCTCCTTAAAAGATACATTTTGCCCATTTGAAACATGGCTTTTTGCACCAAAAAAAGGGGAAACCACCATTGAAAAGGCAATGTTCAGGTGTATAATGTAAGGATCCAGTGAAGTTTGCTTCCAGAGCCACAGGCCGTCTACGACCTCTTCAACCCTCCGCCGGCTGAGCCGCGGCTGGACGCCCTGCACTGCCTCGGCCTCACCGACGCGCTGCTGAGGGCAGCGCTGCGCACGAAGCCGAAGGCCTGGTACGGATGCGACCCCAGGTGGTTAATTTTGAGCCACACCCAAATGAGTCCAGGTATACGCACTGGGTGTAGGGAGGACAGGGGCTTTGGTCCTGCCAAAGCGACCAATCGCACCATCGCAGGGTTAGTCATGATGCCCGCGCGTTCCACATTCCACAGCGGTCGCAGGCGTAAACATGTTAAGGGATGTTCGCTCCGCCGTACATGTGTCATAGATTCGTAGGCTTTTACACATGGACACACACACACATAACCATATATATATATATATATGTATATATATATATGTTCATGCATCCCAGCATCAACTGAAAGGGACCTCCTGACTCCCGAGTCCTGTATTCAGTCAAAGGACACGTGTTGGAGGCTTTTGGCATGCTGGGGAAGGGTGCATACGTTGGTGCGCGTGCAATTTGAACGAATTATCAGTTGCAGACATTCCAGGTGACGACAGTGAAAACTAATGGCAACACACCCACCCACCCACGCACGCACGCACGCACGCACCCACGCACGCACGCACGCACGCACGTACGCACATGCACATAAGCCTCATGGCCGCATTTGGCAAGCATAAGCCAGCTACCAACCTGCCAATGAACTTGTGTTCTTGCTACCACCAAATTCGTCGCAAGCCATGCCGACCAGCATAGCTTCTGCAACCTGACAACGCCAATGACTTGGGCCTTTTTGAGCCAAAGAGCTCCAAACCATGGGCGGCACGGTGCGAAAGCAAGTTGCACAACTCAACCATGACTCCAACGGTTTGAACATCGACAGGTTTTGATTCGTCAGAATCTTCCACCCACGGGCTCTGCAAGCAAGTATGTTAGTTTTGGATTTGCTCCATATCTGAGATGCATACAGGTAATGCGGCGCAGGACCCACGAAATCATGCAAGCAAAACGCCACTACATATTTTTCAACTGCGGATCAGTGCTTTGTTTTACGTTAATCTTCTATGTGTTGGTGGTTGTCAGCTGTAAGTTCTGGTTCCATTGGCTGGTTCCAACAGCAAGCTCAGCTGCAATCCTGCCCTTCCCCTGGCCACTGTGGTTGGAGGCGGAGTCCACAACTGACCCTTGCTGCAGCTGCGGTGAGCTCTATGAGGACAGGGCAGGCCGTTTTGTTAGGGAAGTAGCCCGTTTGACAGCGCAGTGCAAGTATTCATAGGCAAATGCGCAAACCATCAAAGTGTTCCTTACATCGTGCAAGCAACTCGGCTTCTGCATGGAGAGCGCAGAGAGAGAGAGAGAGAGAGAGAGAGAGAGAAAGAGAAAGAGAGAGAGAGAGAGAGAGAGAGAGAGAGAGAGAAAGAGAAAGAGAAAGAGAAAGAGAGAGAGAGAGAGAGAGAGCCTCGCAAGGAGGACTCGAACTTCTGCATCGCCTGCGGCGAGCCCCGGCCAAGCCCTGTCAAGAAGACCGTGAGTTGGGCGCCAAAGGTGCACCTGGGGCCGACGATGCAGAAGAGGGCCTGCGAAGGCTGCCAGCAGCCGCTGACTGAGGACTCCACCTTTTGCAGCATGTGCGGCCGGGTCTGTGGCCTGAGCCCGGCCCCATCCCCACCTGTGAAAATGGTGCCGCAGCTAGCGCCGTATGCTCCAGTGGCGCCGTTGGAGACGCTGGCCCCTTCTCGACCGCTGGACGCCACGCGGATCCGCGGCTGTCGTCTGGCGGCGGAAGTGCAGGCATCGAGCCCGGGTGTCTGTGCTTTCCGTGAGGTTGCCGCTGCCTCACTCGGAACTCGGCCAATGTGACTCGCAAAGATCAAAAAGACGTGCGCCAGTAGCGGAACACGTTAGTTTTGAGTGCCAAGCGTTTGGCGACGGAAGGGATGATGTAGGATCTGAGCCCAATAATCAACACCGCGGGCTTTTGAGGAACTGCTAGCAACACGAAAAGACAGGCTGCCTCTTGGCCTGACATCATTGGAGCCTTGGGCGGTGGGCTACCTGGACTTTGAGCTAGGCGAGCCTGCCTGCATCCCTGCAGGCGGTCACCCGTTGCTCAACGAGGCTTGCCGGACGCCCTGCGGTGTTCTCACAAACGAGCTCTAAGATTCTTTGCAAGCAACCCTCCCCCTATAAACATGGGGCCCCTGCCCCCAAATGCAAAGAAGCACCCTATAGGACAACACATATTTATTTTGCGGGGTCCCCCATTCGTTCTTTTTTGGTCCGTCTTCTTCAGATTGGCTCCTTTGCAGGGGCTTCCTAAGCCACTACCTGGGGTCAGGAGGAATCGCTAGTCAGTTATCTATTGGTTTAGAGCCATTTTTCATCAAGGTGACCTTTAGCATTACTTGGCTACATAGGCATTTGGCTAGTTGGTTATGTGTATCTGTTCATGGCATTAAGTCGACTTATGTGCGCCTGCCAGTAGTTGTTCATGGTGCGAGTGTTTCTTGTAGCTAGTATAACTGCAAGCAGCCACTCCTCAAACACTGCCTCTTGTGATTCAAGCTTTTGCTGGCCTTGTTGGCTTGGATCCGCTCCATGATTTTGTTGAATATGTGCGGCATGTTTTTCCAGTGGCCGGATTTGCTAAGCCAAGCACACACTCAAGATACATGAAGCATACGGGAACCCCGTTGAGCGTGTTTCGCCACTGCCGTGAAGCCTCAAACGGGAGATGACTTGACAATGAGCAAGCTCGCAGCGGATGGGTAAGCGCGGTCAGCGGCTTGGCGCAAGACAGAGGGCTTGGGTCTCGAAATCTGGGCAGCTTGCAAAGAGGCAGTAATGTTATTGTGTGTTGTTTATTCCAGGAAGGTGTTCCGTCCTTTGGTACCGTAATGCATTCACTATGTTGGTTGAAATGCCTTGAGTCGGGAGAACCTCGCCACTTGCAGGGAGATTCAGAATGCAGTGCCCAGATATAGATGAATTGAATCAGCATACGGGTGCTCCAGATGCTTCTGCGAATCTGTCAAGCAGGACACTCCTTTGCGGGCTGGGACACGCAGAGACTTGCAGATGCCCCTCATGCTTGAACGCATTATTCTTCGGTGCCCCTTCTGCCGACTACCGATGAGGCAGAGGAGGCATGCGTTTCGCACTTTGCTTACAGTCAAGCACTCCCCAACAGAAAGTCTTAACCGAACACGGCTTTGCGGGAAATGGTTCTTGCCCTCTTGACACCGTGCCAAGGAAGCGGGCGCTGGACAGTGGCGAGGAAGTCCCATTGCGCAGCTCAGGTCAATTACAGGGGAGTTGGTGGTTCCATTGTGGTGGTGGTTGTGGTGGTTCGGGGTCAACGGCCTTTTCCTCCTAAACAATTCACAAGCTATTCACAAGCTATTATAGCCAACTTGGACCCGTGATGGTGCCAAGACTTGTCATTCTCACATCCTGCTGGTTGATGACATTTGTTGGATTGCGCATGTCCAGGCAAGGATGTCTAGGAAGACCAGTGGTATTTGAGCCAGTCACACATCATCGTAAGATGAGCTCATGAGGTGTCCAAGGCGACCTTCCCACCATGGTCCAGGCCCGACAAGTCGCCTGCGGCCATGAAGTTCTTCAACCAAACAGGTGTGACGGCCCGACTAGTTTTCAAAGGCCTCCTCAAACGATGGCCATGGGCCTGCAACCAGGTAGCGATGAGCTGCGGCCGCCAGAGGAGTTGCCAGAGCGGGAGGCAGCCGCAGTGCGTGCCGCGCTGGAACGCTGGCGAGAGCTCAGGCAGAGAGTGACATGTCAGCGTGGAAATCCATAGAAAAGGTGGTCCCTGGGGTTCTCAGCAAATACGAGCGTTCCGCAGGACCAGTCCAAACGTCATGGTCCCAACGCGAGGCTTGCTTCCTGGTTCGTTCCATTGGTTGCACTGTGTGTGCTTGTGGCTTCGCAATACCTCTGCAATGGAGACATGCCCCAAGGGCGCAGACCAGAGTAAAGCCAAGCTCGTCCTGCGGACTTTTCTGGGATCGCAGCTGGTTTCCGATCACCACATGCAGCTTCCTGCCTCAACGGAGCCCTGGTACTCATTTTTGGAGATGCTTCGCGGAACAAGTCCATTCATCAATTTTGGCTCACCTGGGGCCCCTCCAAATGAAATGAATGCAATGCTTCGCACATCGTGGTGAGACCAGCGGCAGGATGCGGGCGGAGGTTCTGAGACCGATGCTCGAGCATGAGGACAGGTGTTCCCGAGCTGGCCATGGCAGCCTACAGTGATCAGAAGGGGTCTGTAGTTTGGTGCTTTTTGGCTGGGAAGTTCCGACTAATGTGACACGGGGCCCTTTAGAATGTCGTGCGTGCGTGCGTGCGTGCGTGTTTGTGTGTGTGTGTGTCTCTCTCTCTCTCTCTCTCTCTCTGTGTCTCTGTGTGCGTGTGTCTCTCTGTGTGTGTGTCTCTGTGTGTGTGTCTCTCTGCGTGTGTGTGTGTGTGTCTCCGTGTGTGTGTGTGTGTGTCTCCGTGTGTGTGTGTGTCTCCGTGTGTGTGTGCGCGCGCGCGTGTGTGTGTGTGTGTGTGTGTGTGTGTGTGTGGGTGTGTGCGCGCGCGCGTGTGTGTGTGTGTGTGTGTGTGTGTGTGTGTGTGTGTGTGTGTGTGTGTGTGTGTGTGTGTGTGTGTGTGTGTGCGTGTGTGCGTGTGTGCGTGTGTGCGTGTGCGTGTGTGCGTGTGTGCGTGTGTGCGTGTGTGCGTGTGCGTGCGTGCGGGTGTGCGTGTGCGTGTGCGTGTGCGTGTGCGTGTGCGTGTGCGTGCGCGTGCGCGTGCGCGTGCGCGTGCGCGTGCGCGTGCGCGTGCGCGTGCGCGTGCGCGTGTGTGTGCGTGTGCGTGTGCGTGTGCGTGTGCGTGTTTGTGTGCGTGTTTGCTTGCTTGATTTCTTGCGTGTTTGTTTGTTTGTTTGTTCGTTTGTTTGCTTGGGTGCTGGTGCTTGCTTGCTTGTTTGTGTGTGTGTGTGTGTCTGTGTGTGCGTGCGCGCGTGTGGTGGTTGAGAGAGTGCACTGCTTAACGAAATGGGCTGGTTGGCTCTGAGATTGAGCCAAGCGCTGTGATGCACGGTAGGTTCCTTCACCACTCACTTGATTTGGTGGTTTAGGCTTGGCTTCGCTTAGGCTTATGTTGCCCTATTACATGTGCCCTTCCACATGAGAAGTCTTTTACCGACTTTTTTGCCAAACTGCGTTCTTACTATGTAAGGTCTATTCAGTTTCTACCTAACGGCAAGCCAGGAAAGCCAGGGTGGGCTAGGGCTGGAAATGGTACAACCTGATGCTGGCTCCATGATCTTCGCCATTTTTCAAGTTGATTTGGCTTGCAACTTGCCTCCCCACATTTGCTGCAGCAGGACCGCCTCATGCAGGACATCCTGGATCGAGGTCTCGGCAGCGAAGACCGGAAGACCCTGCGAAAGCTTGCCAGTGTTGGCTGCCTTGCTGCAGGTTACAAGGGGGGCGTCTTCTTTGCAGATACCATGTTTGGGCTTACTTTACAGGGACACCAAGTGAAGCCCTCTATGTTTGAGTCAGTGCGCACTGTTTCTGAAAGTGGCGACGTAGCTGCCAAGAAGAAGCAGCTTTCTTTCCGAGCAGCGGGACGTGTTCTACTATCCACGAAACAGATATACTACTGTTTGCACCACGCTCCACCTTTGTCTCTGATAGCGTGTCCTTTGTGAGTGTGTTCGATTTGCTCACCATGCGCCCTCAAATCTCACATTGCGGAACTGGTGCGAGCCATTCTGCGAAGCAACGTTGACAGTTGCAAGCCCACAGCCAAGCAAATATCCATTTACATATGGGGTGGATGGGAACAACTGCTGGTCTGCGCTGGAATGAAGGGGCGGGTGCAAACCATCAAGCTTCAGATTGTGGCTTTGTTCAACTAACCCCTCCAGCAAGTCACAGCTGACAAACAGGGGCATGGGAAGCATTAATAGAAGGGACGCCGTTCTGTTTCCAAGGACAGCTTTGCAAAGCTGTTGCCATCTTGATTAATGTGAGGGAGGGGATGCATCAGACTCATGCCTAATACAATTGGCTGCACCCAACAGACTTTCAGACCCTTCATGCCTAATACTACGAGCCGCACAGCCCAATTGGCTGCATCCAATAGTCTTTGCATCAGCTTGGGGGTGAAATCAGATGGTCGCTGAGGTGCGAGGGACGCAGAGGCAGAGGCTGCACAGGCAGGCCATGGTCGACGTTGGCTAGGATGCCGGGAAGTAGCACCTGTTTGATATGTCATATTGGTTTTGTGAAGGTGCCACGGCCCCCATTGTTCGAGGGAGGGCTGATTGTGTTCACCCTGCAATTTTTGCATTGTTGGGCGGGTTTGCTTGTGCTTCAGGGTCTGGGGTGGATCAACATGTCGGGAACACCCTGCTTCAGCAATGTGGCCTTGCAGCTCTTACAGTCAGATTTTAATGGCGTTCATTTTGCTCAAGGGGCTGAGTTCTGGAGGTGGCCCTCATATTTTTTTTTTCAAAGTGGCAACTGGTTGAAGACTCTTGCCGTGAGCTCTCGTCTTGCCAGGTCGCCGAATCTGCAGCTTGGCTACTTAGATTTGCGTTGCCATTGCCAGCCTCTCAGTCCATGTTACTTGAACCAAGCGGCTTGGGATCCTGAAGTTGGATGCCTCCCTCAGCACAGATGGCCTGCAGCATGGGCGTGTTAAACATGTTTGGCACCCCCTGCAATGGCTTCCTGTTGAGCTTTCCTGCAGAGCCAAAGGGATGTCCCACACAAAATTGGAGACTCCCACCGCTTAGACATCCTCTTGATACTGTGATATTGGAAGTCTACCGTGTCCCTCCCGCGAAATGGCCATGAACTTTAATTGGGAACCACCTCAAAGTGATTGGTGGACATTAATCCCCACCTAAATGATGTCCACCAAGAAGTCCCTGATTAAAATTCATAGCCAAATGGCCTGCTGCTTTCCTTCCGCGTCGCGGCCAAGCCGGCAGTGTCTGATGTGAGGTGGGCCAGGAACGCCAGCGCCTCCAGGAGATTCTGATGCAAAATCATCGGGAGCTGCTGGAGCTGTCCACCACCACCACGCCGGATGATAAGAAGGCCTCAGAATTTGGGGATGGGGGGGAAGGGGAGGAGGGAGGGGGGAGGGGGAGGGGGGAGGGGGGAAGTACCCACCCTGATTTGAGGGGGCTCGATTTGCAACAGGGAGCCATGGGAAGCATCGCTTGAGCTTGGTGGATTCTTGGGCAAAGGCCAGTGGCCGTTTGGGTCTAAGCGGGGTCTGGCCAAACCACAGAACGCATTTAAGCCACCATCCGACTCTTCAAGCAACCTGGGAGGCTTGCCAGTTTCGGGCCAGAGCAGGCTTTCTTAGCCCCTGAAAGCGTTGCAGAGTCAAATTCAGCCATGGTAAGTGATGTGTACCTATAAATATATATATATATATATTTATATTTATATTTACACACTTAAACCATGCGCACACATGTACATCACACACCTCTTTGTGTGGCTGTGCGTGATTTCCAGTTTGATCGCACAAGACTGCAGACTGGGCACAAGCACAACTGCATTCTTGACTGCACACCTATTGGCACACACCTGTACACATGTATGCACACAGAAATAAGTTCAGAGACAGAATCATAAATGGATATGTTATATAAATATATTTACATATGTATATATGTATATATAATCTTTGTTATACCATCCATATGTCATAGTCCACGTGTATACTAGTGCATTGGGCTCCTGTACCAGCGCTCACGCGCAGCTGAAGGGTTAGCTTCAGGAGCTGATAGCGGAGATGGACGGCGTGCTGGATGAGCTGAAGAAAGCCCAGGATGCCGTGCACGTCGAGCTGTTAGCCACCAAGGACGCTCAGCTGAAGCAGTTGCCCTATGGACATACAGCTCTTCTTGTTTGGTGTGTCTTTATATAGGGGGCCCACTAAAATCACGTTGTTGTTTTTATTTTTTCTTTTTCTTATTTTTTCTTGTGGCTTCCCTTTAAACCACAACAAGAAGGGTACCCCTAACAAGAGGCGCTCCCTGCTAGAGGGCGCTCCCTCTCAAGCATGTTGGAGCCAGACCTTGGGCATGGACCCACGTTCCTTCGCCGAAGCAGGTATGCACGAGGCGGGAGGCTGGGGGAATGTTAGCGAACGGCTAACGGTTTGGTTGACATGGGGGTTTGTTATGGCAAGCTTGCTATATTAGAAACAATTGCGAGCCGCAGTTGGTTCGATTGGCTTGTGCGGCATGGGCGCGGAAAAGTTGTTTTCTCATGCTGCAACTAAGGACAAGGAGGACGGGCATGGGGAATTGCCGCTTTAAAGTTATGGCTTGTTGGTCCTGTGCGTCTGCAGCATGTGACCATGATTTGATTTCGGGCCAGGACGTGAATAGATGCGGCTGCGTAAGTTCCCAATGCTGCAAGAGTTGCACGGCTTCTCGAGCTGCCCCCTTGTACAGCGACATGATGGAATTCATCCCTTCCCAAGCTTTTGGCCATCCAACGCATTTACAGCTACATATTGCAGGCATCTTTCTGTTTGAGAAGCAAGTTCAAGTTGAGGTGCAAAGGTCACAATGCATTGCAACTGTTCGCTCCTGTTTCGACCCACCTAAAAGACAAGAACCTCTATGCAGGACATGTCTGCCGTCCGCGCCTATGGCCGTTCCTTGAACGACTTGAAGGCGCTCACGCGGCGTCTGGACTGCGAGCGGAGGAGCAACCTGGCCGCTAAGAAAGTGGGCGTCGTTTCGGCAAGGGGAAACCCAGCTTACCGCGCTTCGGCAAGATGAGTCAATGAAGAGGTGCGTTGCTTTGGCATTACTTGTTTGCATTTTGATAATTTCAGCTATTCTTTTGTGCTTATGCCAGGTGGCGAGTGAGCGCAGGTCTGCGTATGTGTGTGTGTGTGCACGCACACACGTGCGCCTTTGCGCATATGCGCGGGGTGGATCATCAAGTTCAAGCCCAAACGTTTCTTGAGCCAGGGCACTCATTTCAGTGCAAGCGTTTGAATATGTCAATGCCAGCGCCCCGTCCAATCATATGGCCCTTGTGTTGGAACATGTGGAATCAAGCTCTGGAATTTGCACTTGCTGATGAAAGGATGCAGCATTTGGTGGATGTTGTGAATGCTCATGGCTTGCAGGGGTTGCTGTGACCCAAGGCTTCCCTCAGCCCCACACAACCCGGATTTGCATTACGTTTGTCCACCCATTCCTGACGTGTACTCTAGAAAACGATGGCAGTCCAGATGCCATCGCCATTTGCCCTTGATGTTGTTTTATTCAATCGCTGCTGGGGTTTGCCCTTGGCATCATTACTAGGTCTTGCAGTAGATTGCGGGAGAGATTTATTCATCTGCAAACATGCGGCGAGCATATGATTTGATTCTGTATATAGATCATGCTTGGACCACGAACTGAGGCTTGACCAAAAATTCAGTTTTGGCGACTCTGCTGGTGACAGTCTGCAGACGGATACTGCCAGTGCGGCAGATCGATCCTTCCGAGCTGACGAACATTCCGGCACCTTGGCTCTCCTTAAGCTGCAATGTGATGGAAGGAGCACAAGCGAAGTTCAGTTCGCTCAGAGTTTGTCCCCTGCTGCGCGATGCAGAACATTCCGACGTAAAGACGCTGTTGTTTTGATGCAAGGCGCGACGGGCCAGCGCTTGAGGGGTGGGGGCTCGTGGCGGGGTGGTCTTCAATTGGTGTTGTTTGCATTGCGTTCTCTGTATGGGATGTCAGCTTGGCTGAGTTCCAAGTTGGTGGTTTGGATTGGTGATGTTTAGCAATGCCAAGCCAAGTCAGGGATCTCACTGTGAAGTCGTTCAATTGCAACCCCTGATGATCACTGAGGCTTCTTACGAAGGAGCGGGGTGGCTTCGATAGGGCGCAGTGACTCAGTGGCCAATGTGGCGCCACCTTGGTCCATTTGCCATGTTCCACGATCGCGCTCGACCGTTGTCCTTAACGACAGTTTGCTGACCACTCAGCCCTAACTTGTACCATTTGACCATTTGTACTTTGCAGCTTGGCAAGCACATTGAGGCAAATGTGCCCTTGGCAAAGGTTCTGCCTGGCATTGGTTCGCAGCTGATTTTGTATCCCACACGTCACGCGCACTTGACCCTGCAGGATACTTGCAAATCTTGGATTTCTATTTTTTCTCCGCGGCTTGGCACTGGGAATCATGGGCCTGTGACTGCAATGGGAATGCGGAGTTCCAGGATAAAGCTTGAAGCTTCCATGGAAGTCAGTTTGAATTGTTCGAGCTTGGTTCTCAGCCGACTCGCTGACAGCTAGGACAACTTGGCATTGAACAGTTGGCGTGCGTGGCATGCGTCTCTACAGCTGGTGGGGACAGGTGCCAACAAATATGGCCCGCAATTCAAGATACTGGGTATTTTTGGTATTGTTGCTCTTGGGCATTTTTATTTTTTTTTGTTTAACATAAAAAAACATCTGAGTGCATTGCAAGCAGCACTCTTCTTTCTTTTTGCCAATCGCGTTCCTGATGCCGCATCGCTGGTACAATCATTCTTCCGGACAAGACGGGAGAAGAAACAAAGCAGACTTAGTGAGCGACATAGATACCGTGCAGGACCAACTAGGGGCACCAATGAACACATGAGTGAAACATTAAGACTGATTTCGTCGTAGTTCGGGCCCGGGGATCGTTTCAAGAGTGGCTCTTGCCTTGCATGGCCAAAATTCAGGTTTGGGCAATGGAGCCAATGGACTTTGGAGGTGTTGTCTTTTCTTCCCTAGAATTAGTTCCCCTTTTTCCTTTTTTTTTTGGGGGGGGGTCCCCTTTGTTTTCCACTAACCAGGCAAAAAAGATAATTTGTTGCTGCGGTCCTAATTCCAGCCTAGTTTTGAAAGCCCGATTCGATGCGCCCAAGTGGCTTGAAAGGGAGGCGCTACTAGGCCTCTCATGGACACCTCCACGTCTTTCAAGCGGGGAGCGACGTGTATGTGGCATACGTGGCATGTCTCAGGAGCTGTTGTTGTTTTTCCTTTTTCTTTTTTATTATTATTATTTCCTGCACCTCTCGGCACCCTGGTTTTTTTTTGGGCCATGCTGGCTCACCCGGGAAACTTCCGGGAGTCGTTTTGCGTGGCTGAGGATGCGAGCCTCTACTGCTTCGGCGAGCACTTCTCTGGGCCAAACTGGTTCACTCGGCTGAAGCGAAATGTGGCCATTCTCTCCGTCGCAGATGCGGATGGGAATAGCTTCCCGGCCAAGAAGCCTGAGGCGGCCCGTCATTCGCCTATGTTGGTGAAATAATTTTGAAGAATGGCTAGCGTGGTGTTTATCGCCATAATAACAGATCCTCGCCACAAGAGGTTCGGACACACAACACAATTGGTCCAGACACCTTGCGGCAAAGTTCCGGCTTGGTGCTCTAGCTTTGGGTGCCCTGAGTAGCCAGTGGGTGTAGGTGACGCATTGCGCGCCGTGTTTTGCGTTTGTTTCCTGTGGTTTTCCCAATTGTTGGCGTCATGTTTGTTCTTATTATTTTTGCGAGTTTTTGTTTTCTGTGGACGTCTCAAAAACAAAATATGTGCTTCTTGGGTTCATCACTGTTACTCTAAAAAACATAAACCTTGAGTTCTTGAGAATGCCACAGGTAACCACCAAACATATTCAGGAACACAACTATGGGACAACCTCACAGAATCAAACCAAAGACTGCCCGCATAATTTTGCATGTTTGCTTTTTAGTGTTCCTAGACTTGGTGTTCCTCGGGTTTGGGTATTCTTCTGGATCTGACCAAGACTGTGTTTTTAAGTCGGGATCCTTACTTTGATCGCGTTATGTATGCATACTTTGCAGGACCTCGTTCTACGCTTTTCCGATTCATTGCTGCCAGAGGGTAATCTTGGCCCCTTGATCTGGCTGGGTCAAGGATTATTCGCCTCTAGCTGCTTACCTGCAAATCCAAAATGCTATCCATGAAGGCTGGATTTGCAAGCCAGGCATTGACAAAGGTAGAAGGGATACTGTGCAGAAGAGTGGGCCCGCCCTGAGTGCGTGTGCAGGCAAAAAGTTACTATGCAGAAGGGCTTCGAATCTGGCCGCCAAGAATTCTGGCACAACACGTGAATTGCAGGTGGTCCAGATTTTTGCTGCCATACCGTGGCTGTCTCCAAAATGAACGAACTACTACAAGTGGCATGTGCCTACTCTAGTGGAACTGTAGTTCAACTACCTTGCGCATATGATGTGAGTCAGCTAGCGCCTGTGAAACATGTTTTGCGCTTGTGTTCAGTTTGTATCATATGCATAGGGACATAGATATGCTGGAAATGTTGGGGAGGTAAATATTAGGTAGTTGCTAGACACAGGTAGATTTTGGCAGTATGTAATTTAAACGCACCATAACTAGATTCTTCCAAGATTGATTTAGGGCCGCAACAGGGGGAGCTACCGAAGGTTATGGCTCTGAATGGTCCTTGACGATCCCATACACACTATGCCACACATGTAGTTTGATGTAGTTGGGGGGTGGGCATTTGTATATATATATATATATTTATATGTATACTTATGTTGTATTATCATACTATGTATATACTATATGAAACACTTCCTTTGGCGTCATATTTGGCTGCTTGATGGGTTTTACACATTCGGGGCTCGGGGCCCTTAGAGGCCTGGGACGTCTCGGCCGAGGCGTCTACAACAACTTTGCAGTCAGCGGCTGCTTGGCCAAGGGCGCCCCAAATCTGACAAGCACTCTACTGCCATTGGGTTTGATCTTTAGACTTTAACTTTTTGGACTCCCCTCATATTTCCTGGTAACCAGTAAAAGTTAAACTTCTTGCTGGGGGATCTACGGCACCCAAGGTAGCTGACTTTTGTTCCTTTGGAGGGCAGCCTGGCAGAGGGGCCAACATGAAGTGGAAGGCAGCTCAGTCCTACCCGGCTGGCGCATGTCTATACCTTAGCTCTTGTCAGGCGCACTGGCGAGACATGTTGTCCTCACTCGTAGTCTTGCGTGGGTGATTCGAAACCAACGTTCAAATAAAATAATGATCGCGCTTCTTCACCAAAATGTGAAATTTGGTAAATGTAACACATTTGGTAACAATTTCGAAATCAACGTTCACACATTTGGTAACCAACGAATAAAACCCGAAATTGTTACCAAATTGTGTGAATACCTTGGGCATTGAGGGCTGTGGCTCTGGCCTGTGTGAGGCACAAAACGGGCGTGGGTCAAAAATAAATCACTAGGAATTGGACCGCAGGTTTTAGTCCATGTTTCCATTTACTAGGGTCCATTTTGGGTAGCGATTTTTGACCCACAGACAAATGATAATATATGATTCGCGTAGAGTTTGAGCATGGGTCGCGCCCGCCTCAACCTTTTGCCTCTCTCTTTCCAACTGCTTTCGCTGCTCGCATGTGTTTCTTCTGGTTGTCCTGGCCTGGCGTCGAAGTAGTAGCAAAACGATAGAGCGGTCCCGACATGCGATAGGCAGGGGAATGAGACATAGAATGACCCGTCAATAAACCATCCAGTGGTTTCCTTTAAGGGGACCCCGGAACGGTTCATTCCATTTCTCATTCCCTAGTGTCAGCACTGGCAGACCTGCCTGTCTTTCTTTGGCTCAGCTCGATGTGCTGAGGCGAGTACAAGACCCCTGGCGCGCCCTTAGCGCCGGAGGAGGGCCCCCTGCAGTCCATCGAAGCAGCGGCCCCTTGGCCAGAAATGCGCTTAGCGTTTGGCTTTTGGAGCAGGGAGTTCGGAAGGCATAGTGGTGTTTTCACCGTGGAGCCTTTACGCTGGTGAAGGAGAGGGCGCCGTGGAATTTTATCCGGGCTACTTGGGCTCGGGTCAGGGGTGGTAGATAGCCAGGTGGGGCAGAGCTTGAGCTGTTGGGGAGCGAGTGCATTTTGGGCAATGAGCTGCTGCAACTTCCCCCAAAGCCTGGCGTTTCTGAAAGGCAATGCAGGTCAGCTGCAGCAGCATAGGTGTCCTTTTTAGGTGAGCTTGGTTGAAAATAGATGGCACTGGTTTAGATGGTTTTGTTCCATGTACCATGGCCATCTATTTTCCAAAAGGCCCCTATGTGCAGCAGTGTATGGCATTTGCAAAAAACAAAAACAAAAAAACACCCCGGCTATACACTTCCTGGCCTTGGCTTAGGACGAGAATGGCCGTGTCTTCGACCGCAGGCACGACGCGGTGCTTGGGCAGGATTTAGCAAGTTGATTCAGGAATCGCTGCCATTCTGGGCAAAAGTCGGGCCCAAAGATCGAATCGGCAAAGCTTCTGTGACTTGCATTCCCTTGACTGCTATTGGGTTGGATCTTTAGACTTTAACTTGTTGAAAAATCAAGGGGCTTTCCACTAAGCCCGCAAGAAGCTAAACTTTTTGCAGAGGGGTCAACAGCAAGCAAGTTCCCAGCATGTGTTCAACTCACTGACTCAAGGGCCGAGTTTGAGCCATGTAAATGGCTGGTGAGTGCCTTCGGTGCCTTCAGAAGGTTCTGCTATTGTGGATGTGCGGATCCTTGGCCGTGCGCAGGGGTGCTCATCGGCGGTGATGATTTTGCTGATGTAAGATACGCATGGATATTGCGCACGGCCTGTCAATCAAGGTTCTCCAGTGATTCTTTTTTTTTTTTTTTTTAAACGGCGGTTTAGACGAAACAGAAGCATGGAAATGGGAAGGGGATGGTTTTCAGCAGCGACCTCCGAGGAGTTCAAGCTGTTGACTGGGCTTTGCGCCATGGCAGCAACCTCCGGGTTATGCCGAGGCCTCCCCTTCGGGTCTCAAGGGCTTGAGCTTCCGTAGCTACTGAATGAAGCTGGACCTATCAGCCTGGGTTTCGCTTTCTACGGACAGCATGTCTTGCAGACATGCTGCTGCCATGGAGGCTTGAAAGTGGGTACGCGGGGCTCAGCTGCTGGTTAGCTGGCTGATGTGCTGCGTTCGCCACCCTGAGGGATGACACGAAGTTATTATAGCAGAGTTTGCAGTACTTCCTGCAGCTTCAATGCCTGAAGCACGGTCCCGAAAGCCGCCTCCTTGACAAACATAGTTGTCGGGTGGAAATCCAGTGTTCGATCAAACAAATAAGTATCACCATGTACACGCTCGACTGGCATCGGCGGAGGTCAATTTCATCTGCATAGGCGTGTGCGTGTGTATGTTTAGCGTTTTTTTTTTTTGGGGGGGGGAGGGGCGACACGTCATTCAGTTGCACTTTCAGTTCGCGTCATGCCGAATGACAACCATCAGGCCTTGGCTTTCAGAGAGGCGCTCAAGTTCGGTTCGATGACTCTCAAACGACCCCAAGAAAGCTAACGTTGACCCAGGATTAATAAACCCGTCCCATTATTGGGGGGTGTTCCCTCCAAAAGTGGTCTGAATCCCCACAAAAAGGGGGATTCACCCCCCTATTAATCAACCAGGGGTTTAACTTCATCCGGGGTCAACATTCCCCAACAGACGCAGCAACAGACCGACGCCGCGCTGAGGCAGCGCAGTGCCGGCGGAGAAGAGACCGACCTGGAGCGCCCAAGCGACCCTTTGGTCCAAGAAGCCGCTGTGTCGGAGCTGCGCTGGAGCTGTGGGCGCCTTGCGCGAGTTGGGTCGGAGAGACGGGTGAAGCTGCGAGAGGGGGTGGTTTCGTTTGTTCACAAGTTGGTTTTGTTTGGCGGGCACCCTTCACAAGTCGGAGTACACGTTGTCAAGGTTTGCATGCTTACTGGAAGAATCAACGAGATGTATGACAGATTAATCCTCGCATTGCGTTGCCTTGGCTGCAAGCCCAGATGCCGAATTTCTGCCTCTAGGAAGAAGCAACAGTTTCTTGAGTGCTTCCTGTTGTGCCAGAAGATCGTTCTGGGGATTCACTGCGGGCAACATCCAAGCACATTCCTTGAGGGCCAAATATGCTTACTATCCTTGCAGAGGAAAAATTTGTTCAAGCATTGCTCTGCACGGCAGCGAAACGTAAAACATGCAGAACAAAAGAACAGGCGTTGGGCTTTTAAGGTTGGGTGCTTCCTGAAAGGGAGCGGAGCCATACACGACACGGACAGCTGTCTTACTCAGGTTTTAGCCAGGGTGGCTTGGGTTCCTCAGATTTACATTGGGCGTGACTGGCTCAGTTGCCCTGCGTATTGGCTGTTTGTCCTTGGGAGGGGTGTGCGTACCCCGGAGTTGCTGGTTTCACTTACTTGTGTGGCTGTGGACCCTGAAGCATATCAATGAGTCAATGAGCTCTAAATCGGTGTTTCGGAAGTCTGGGGATGGCTTTTCTGGGATTGAAAGTTTGGAGAAAGGGGTGGCGGGTCACAGCCTGAGACTAGCAAGAACAGTCAAACATGCCAACGCAGGGGTCTCATGTTGGTGCAACGCCGCATGTGCGCCGATTCCTTGCCATGCTTTTCCAGAACTCGGTGTTTACATCATCGGCGCTGATCATGATCGAGTATCAAGGAGTAGTAAAGAAGAACCTACAGGGGGAAGAACAGGTGCAATCCACAAACACCGCATCCAAACTGTTTTTTAAGAATGCCAGATGCCATTGGCCCTCCGCCACTGCATTTTGTTCCCTTGGTAGCCGTTCCTGATGTGTCGTGATCAAAGTCCATTTGTTCTACCGCTTGGGCTTGGGGTCGGTAGAAGCATGTTGCCGGAGCTGCGTGCTCATTCTTTTTTTCTGGTGTTTGTTTGGCACTCTGACTCATCCGAGGGCTGTGTGGGGCATGTTGTAATCCAGCATTTGGCACAGGAACGCCCGTCCACTTAGGCCAAGTCGAGGGCCTTTTCCCGCAGATGTGGCTTGGATGGCACTGCACGATGTGTGGGGAAAACACATCCTCCTGGGAACGCGACGTTGGGTTTTCGTGGGGTATTCTTTGCCATTTTCGAGTGGCTCCACTGGCCTTTGCCCGTGTGTTTTTGGTTTTCTTGACCATCCCTTAAAAACACGATGGCTGCTGGCATGCGCCACCGTATGCCTTGCATCATGTAGCGGTCGGTGACCCATTGCGCCGGTCATTTGCAAGTGAGCATGAGGCGACTGCTCTGGAGGTCACGTCATGGAAATCTCGCTTGCCTTAGGCAAAACGTCTTGAGATGCTGAGGCTGTTGTGAGTGAGTCAGGGTGTCCCATGGTTGCATTTCGCCCAGAAGCGGGCACGGATGATTGTTGCAGCCAAGCATGGCGTTGCGCAGGGAACTTAAGTGACAAGACACAAGATCGAACTAAAGAGAACAAACAAGCAGGTAGGACAGAGGTTGTTCCGATCATGTAGTTGTTGAGGCAGGCCCTTGGTTCACTCAAGGCAAACACGGAACGCTCTATGGGGGCGATCAGATAGAGAGCCGTTGGCACCCAGGAAGGTGTGCATTGTCGTGGGAGAGCCCAAGACGGAGAGCGACGGCTCCGAGGTCAGGGTTAGTCGAGGGTTTTCCCCGAGCGACCGTTCACTTCAGATATTTTCTCACCCAAAAGCCCCCCGTGTGGCTTTGTCTTGCGAACCCTTCAACGAAAACAGTTGGGGGGTGATCAATTTTTCAGGATCAATTTTCAACTCGAGTACCCACGAAGTTATCAAAACAACCCAACTCAATGTGGTGCTCCTGGGGAGTGCGCCGCTGCAGGCCTGAGGATGCAGGAAAGTTCCCAATATAATTCGGCAGATGGAGGTTTTGCAGCCTCAAACTTGACTGCTATTGGGTTGGATCTTTAGACTTTAACTTGTTGGGAAGTCAAGTTGGGTTTTCCACCTAACCCCCAAAAAGTGAAAAGCTTTTTGCAGGGGGGTCCTTGCAGCAACCAAGAAGCCTCAAAAGCAGTTGCGCCAGGCTCCCGACGGCAAGAGGCTGAAGGTGAACGGCTTCCGGGCGGAGCCGCTAAGATGCGCGTGAGGCGCGCCAAAGTGTCACCAGAGGTTTGCACCGAAGGAGTGAAGCGCCCACATAGGTTTTGCTTTAGCCTTTTAACGTTTCTCCATGGGTTTGTCGTTTGTGGCGGTTTGACCTTTTGTTGTCCCACACGGGGCTTGGGGAAGGTAAGTTTTGGTGGTTCCACTGCCAGACTGACAGCTTTTCCGTGGTCAGTCACAAGAGTTACCCGCCTTTGGAAAGATGCGTGTGTCAACCTCCTTCGACGACGGTGTGCAGGAAGCAAACGGTTTGCCAAGCCCCGGGCGGCAGCATTGTTTAGAGCCAAGCGATCGTTTTTGCTCAGCCAGCGTTGCGTTGCACATGGAATTTTGTAAAAGAAACCATCGAAACGTGGCGGCTGGTCATGCCTTTGTTTCCAATTCTTTTGGCCAGATGCTGCTACCAGGAAGCAAGTTGTGCAGTGGGCTCAGAAGCCATGGCAAAGTGAGCGCCATGCACTGGCTCCAAAGTCAGGAAGTCAACAGGAGCCACCCAGAGTGCGTGGCGGTCATCAGGCCTGCGCACAGCGAAAACAAGCAGCAGCTTGAACTTGATCAGTTCAGTCCATCTGATTCAGCTGCTTGCTTGTTTTGCAGCTGCGCAGCATGCTGCCCACTTACGCAGAGAGACGTGAAGCACGAATGGGCCTTTGTGACCCCAATATCTTGCCTTGCCGCCCCGCTCGTAAAGATAAATCGCTTGTGTGTTTTGTTTATTGACTTTGTGGGGCCGAGGATGCTACGTTGGCAGTTTGGCTCCACATGTGCGACGGGCATGGTCGAACTCGATGCTTGCTTCCGGGCGCCGCGTGCCCGACCTGTTACTCCCAGGCATACAGCTTGGCGGTTAGGAGATTCGCGCGTGAGGGAAAATCATCTATTTTGGAATGCTTCATTTCGCTTTGGCCGTTTCAGCTCGCGACATTGTCCTCCAAGGGTTGGGACAGTCGGTCTTTTTTCTACGTGACCTGACAACCTTCTGGCTCAGAAGCAGAATCCTCTCGACTTGCAACGTGGGAACGTGCGAACATCGTGTTCAGCCGCCGGGAAGCAGTCAGCGGAGTTGTGGGGAGGGCTCGGACACGTATTGACACATCATGTGGCACATCATGGGGCTTTTGAAATGGGTACTTTGTTGCAGTGTTTGTGCGCTGGCATGAACTATGATATGCGAATCCCCCTTGCTTCCGTGAAGCAGCACGCGTCATCTTCATTTAAATTTGATTTTGTCTCTGCCAGAGGCAGCATGTGGAGCCTGTCGATGTACGCAGCGGAGAACCCGAACACAGCTGTAGAGGCGACGATCCGTTGGCCTGCGGCTTGCCAGGTGATGCCCAGTTAGTTGCAAGGGCTTCAGTTGGTGTCTGAAAGAGGCTTACTGGAGCCTGTGCTTTCTTTTGGATCCAATCTTTGGCTAAATCAAGGATGGCCAGTGTGGAATTCCGTTTGTGAAGGGCGTTTTTTTCACCAATTTCTTGGAGGGCAGGGCTTGGATGAACCATCCCCCCCTAAAAAACATAAAATAAAATAATGTATGGAAGGGGGGCCATTCCCCGTTTTCCCTTTGCGGGGAAGGCTGGGAAAAAGACACGGAATTGGTCCTTCCCCCACCCGCTCCGCTCCCCCCTCCCGGCGGGGTGGTAGGAGACAAGCTGTCCGCCCGGCAGGCGGCGGTGGCCTCCAACGTCCTGGCACCGCCGTCCTTGTCCTTGGAGCAGGTGGTGGAAATGCAGGACCATAGGTGTCCTTTTTGGTTGGTTTGCTTAAAAATAGAGGGCCCTGGTTTAGATGGGGTTTATTCCATTTACCAGGGCCATCTAGTTTGCCAAAAGGCCACCTGTGTGCAGGACCTGTGATGGCATGGCGAAAGATTCGACCATACCCCAAAAAACCCAGCGTTGGCAACGATACCTCAGCTCTCGTTTCGGACTCGGGGGGCTTGCCCTCTTGGCAGCCGTGTGTTGTGGTGGAACTGCTGGGTTGAAATGTGTGATGTGTCCAGTGTGCTCAGGGTCCGAGCTCTGCTTGGATCGTGCTTTGCTTGCTCCAGACAAAGGCCCATGTCACCGGCCGCGGTGCCATTGAGGAACCTCAGGCCCCAATGGCTCCATGCTTTTGGGAAGGTGTCCCGTGTTTGGTGTGGGCTCCTGGATCGGGCTTGAGATCCGGCTGCGTACGAAGGAAGCGGAGATTGCGGAGTACTCGAAGCCAGAATTCCAGATGCTTGCCTCATGCTGGATGGGCGGACCCTCCAGCTTTTGTCAACTTGAAACTTTGTCATGCAGTCGTCTTGAGGTGAAGCCGAACAAAGTAGTAGGCCAAACTGATCGAAGGGCTGGACAGGTCGCAGTGTCGTTTTTCATACTTGAGGCTTGAGGCAGCTGAATCTGACAGCTGAAGACTTCGCATGTCGCCATGGCTTCAAGCTTGCAACGTTGGACGAGCAAGCAAAGCGCGAAAAGCGGCGAGCTGCTTTCTGTCTGAGTGGCCGCAGTTTCGCAAGGCGGGCTTTGTAGATTCTTCTGCCTCAGCGCTGGATCTTGGCTCGTGCTCCTGCCCAGGAACGAGCTGTACGCCACCCTTTCCGCTGCGACACCGGAGGAGCTGGCTCATTTGCGTCAAGAGCTATGCTCCTGGGCTGCATTGTCCACTGCGCCTCCGTTTTTGGCGGGAGGTTGGTTTGGGCCTTGTTCGGGTCAGGGTTTGGCATAGGTTGGGTGTTGGTCTAGGTTAGGATTGGTTTTGGCAGGGGTAAGGTCGAGGTTGGTGAAAAAGTCTGTTGCAGGTCTGTTTTGGGATTGAGTGAGGGTTGGGTGGCATCTGGGTAGTCTAGCATTTGGGCTTGCTTGGGTTGATTTAGTAGGGGCTAGCGGCTTGATTTGGTCGGGTTTGCACAGTGGCTTGGTGTAGATTTGGATTTGCTTTCAGGGTTGCTTTGCGGCCGCAGATTAGGATTGATTTAGGGTTCGTTTTGGGTCGGTTTTGCGTTGGCTCCTGCTTGGTCGAGGGTAGACTTTACGCTTGGTTTTGGACGGTTTTGGTTAGTAACAGCAGATGATACTGTCACATGCAGGTACTTAGTTTGGTCAACTTGGCGCTTGCCTTCGCTGCAGTTCGACATGCGCTCCGTCTCCGACTTAAACCAAACGTTGATGTCTTTGAGTCAGACGGCGAGTACGCAGGTTTTTTTTGGTTGTTTTTTTTTGGGGGGGGCACGTAGTCCCAACGCACCGCTGGTTCCACCTTCTGAGGTTTGAAGATCCAAGCACCTTGACTGCAGGGGGGCCTTGAACACATGAGAGCCGTAGGATGGCCCGAAGGCAGCCGACAAGCCAGAAGCCAGCAATCAAAGGCTTGAGGAGCTCGAACGTAAGGAGCTCGGAGACCACACCAGGCAAGAAATTCGCCTGAGCAACTTCAAAGGCATGCGTTCTTTCCGGACATGTCTAGGGATAGTTGTGTTATGGAGGCCCTGCATCAGCAAAACCTTGAGTTGTGTAAGCTTGCAACAGGTGCATTTGTTGGGTGTAAGCACGAGGGGAAGCCCTGCGTTAGGCTGTAGAGAAGCTCTGGAAGCAGATGTTGATGCATGTCATGTGTAGCTCTTTGTCAACCAACTCAGGTGCTCCAATAGGCGGCGAACCAGCCCCCTCCTTGGCAGGTTGGCCATGGTGCGTTGAGTCAAGCAGGCCAGAAATCACATAGGCATCCCCTGACCTCGGGCCGTTCTCATAGGCATCCTGCCTCCAGGAACAGGAAGGTGTGTTCAAGTGCGCAAGCTTCGCGTCAACTCGTCCAGACCTGCCCACAAGTCCACGCAGCGAAAGCATGCCGCGCCATCGGTTTGCAGCGGAAGCAACGGTGGCGCATAGCGCAGAGAATGGAATGCAACCCCACCCTGTTGAGTGTGAGGGCGGTGTTCATTGACTTAGTCCGTATAGCCACTATTATCCCATGCTTAATTATTTGAATATTTGTTCTGGCGGCTGCATGGAAAAATTGCCTGCGTAATCAACTCTTGTGAGGAAACACACAAAACGATAAATGCAAAGGTAGTGAAGCACCGCCAACATTTGCCATCCTGGTTGACTGCCGCCGAAATCAACACATGGGTCGCGCAAGCAACACGCAACCTCGCAAAACCTCGCACCTGAGCGAGGTGTGTTACGATCTAGGGGTTTTGCTGCGTTTTTGGAGCATGTTGGAGCAGCTCACACGCCTCCTTTGAAGACTTGTGGCAACTCCACGAAGGAAGTGGGACCAACCCCTCCCCCACCCCTCCACTCCACCAAACCCATCCCCTCGCACCTTGTCGCGATTCCGCGACTTCCCCGAGGTGCCCATCGTGGCGCAGCGCGGCTTCGAGCCCACGGCCCTGGGGGTGTCCCAGGCCACGCAGCAGATCCTGCGCTACCACGGGGAGGGCAAGGCGCCGGCGCGAAGCGCGCGCGTCGGTGGCGCGTGGCGCGCTGCGGGGCGGGGCTGCGGGCGGTGGGATCGGTGGGGGGGGACGAGGCAGGAGGGCTCAGGGCAAAACGGGGTCAGGGGGATATATGGGCATGGCTCAGGAGTGGTTGAAGCGAAGGGGGAAGCGCCACCCATTCGAGCAGACGGCATTCAGGGTGGTTTGTTGGATAGGGTGGCTTATTGGATGGGGTAGCCCGTTTAGGGCAACTTGCACTCAGGCAGTTCATTTACTTGTGCACTGCGGGCCGCCAAGCCAGCTCTGCTTATGGTGACGCTGCTTGGCCTTCTCGGCCCAAACAGATGGCTCGCACTTGCACGAGGACCTCGCTCTGACGCTTGGCTTGCCGGCAATTAAGACGCGGAAGCAGGACAGCCCATGTCATCACTGCAAAGGTCCCAACATATGTTTTCACGTGGCCAGCAGGCCTGCCAGTCCAATCATGATAGTACCACCCCCCACCAACCCAAAAAGCGACAGAGAGTGTTTTTAACAATGTGTGCTTCTGCGGAAAGGTTGGCAAGCCCCTCGCGGCCAGCGCACGGTGAGCCGTCCTCGGCAATGTTTTGGTTCCAAGGATGAAGCAGAGAGGGGATGGCGGTGGCGGCTGTGATGCTCCCTGGTTGCAATGTGGCCGTGGATCAACACCAATGGTGCTGTTTTGGGCTAGGTGCACCACCCATTTTAGTGGGGATTGGGATGTTCACTGGGGGTACGGGGGTTTGACCCATAGTCATGTGTTTGGCAGCGAGCAAGCAACCCCCGCAGTGCAGATCTATGCAGTGGTTACATGTCAGCACCAGCAAAATGGTGATTCAAGACTGCCATGGAAGAAGCAAAGTGGCGGTGCTCGCTTCACGTCACATATATGACCCTGTCATGTCACTGATGCCACAGTAGGCGGCAAGTAACAACTACTTCCATGCTCAGGTTCTGCAGGTTTTGGCAAACGACATGCTACTTGCGACATGTGTTGTGCACCTTTTGAGCGACTCATATCAAGTAGAAGTTTGCTTGGAAGGCAGGTGTCACTGTGGCCCTTGAGTCCATCGCGTTTCGGAGGTCGCGGCGCGCAGCCTCGAAGCAAGAGCCTGATATCTATCCGCAGGCGGAGGGCAGAGAGGGCAAACCTTTGCCCTTGTTGAGCAAAAGGTTCGGGAAACGTGGGATGTCACGTGGAAAACCACTAAAACAATGCCATTTCCCACAATTGGGAACAGGTACCCATTGTCATTTGGGGGCCAGGAGTACTGATCAAACCCCACATGTGCTGCATGCAGCCACTGAACTTCCAATGTCGCGAGAGTTGTCGAGTTTCTTTTTTCCAAGGGCCAGTAGACACATGGCGCAACTGAAGTGTCATCTTCAGTTGGCACAAGCCATGAAATTGGTACGGTTGCCCTTCATGTTCCCGTGCCTAAATGGAGCATTTCGAAACGGCCAACCAGCTTGGAGAGAGTGTCCTTCCTCGTTTTGGCCATTGAAACATATCTTCGTCAAGCCATTGCCCCAGCGACACCCCTTGCACTTGCCATTCCAAGCTTCTTCCTGGACGGAGGCTTGCGTGCTTTTAGGCTATGCAGCAATCTCCTTCTCAGATCGTTCGAGCAACCCCTGTCGGTGGGGAGTGGTCTAGGAAGGATGCGTAGGGCCACGCCATTTCCATGTCTAGAAACTTCATTTGCTCAAACGCAGGTTGGTGCTGGTAAAATATGAAAACATCAATCACGTTGTTGTTGCTATTGTGAGCTTGCTAGGACTGACATGCAGGCTTGCGTTCATCCAGGATGTTCCAGCTTTCTTTGGTAACCTCAAACGGCGCCCACTTAGAATCAAAATGAAACGAGGCCACTTAATCGAGTGTCGAGGCCGTAAGCGGGTTCTTTTTGGCTTTTCAAATTGCATTTTTTGCACTGGAGCGTCCAACGTGTTGTTCTCAAGCGAGCTTCAAAAGCATGGCCAACTGAAGTGCAGGCAGCGGCTTGCGCATTATTATTCAAACGTGAGTGTCAATGTGTGTCATTTGAGTGTGCTCGTTTGAGTGTCGTTTGAGTGTCGCCGCTTGCTTGTGATCAACTGTGCTCAGTCTACATTGGTTTGGCTAAAATGTACACTCCTCAAGGTAGCCAGGAGCCACTTGTTTCTAAGTGACGCTTCTGTAGCCCAAGTGGGCTGAATCTCGCTTAAGTGACGTATTGAATTCAGCTAAGTGACCATAATTTTCATGTTGGATCATGGCACCCAAAAAATTCACTGAGGTCACTGAAAATAAGCTGCTTTGCGGTGTTTCCAGAGTTTCCGAGTAGCCAGAAGTTCTGGATGGCCTGCAAGACCGATTGCAGCAATCGCTGCCAGGCAGTTGCCTTGCCCCACTTCGTCTCTGTGCACCTCGCCGTCCATGCAGTCAGGAGTCAGGTTGCCGTGCAGGTTTGCCCCAATTTGGCTTGGGAGGCTTAGGGCCTGGGGGCCAGTTCGGGCAGGTTAGCAGCAGGGTTTGGATTGACTTTGCGGAGTATGCTTTTGATCAAGGGTCGTTTTCTCCAAGGGTCGCTCAGATCTGTCGAGATGGCCGGCACGCTCAGGGGGCATGCAATGAATATGTTGCACAGTGGGCATGCCACTGAAAGTCTTGGATGTCTGCCTGAGGGCAGCAAAGTAGAGCAATTCCAATATGAAACGGGTGTCTGAGCACAGCGCCCCGCAGGTGTTCTGCCTACTTAGTGAAACGAGCTTTGGACAAACCGGCTTGCAGTGTCTTGACGTGGAGTGTTGAAAGGGTTTGACAGCTAGTGATGAAGAATTGGCTTACAACAACATGTTTTCAATGCGGTCTGCTTCTTGTGCAGCCCTATCATGCCCAGATTTGGGCCACTTCGCAGGCTTCTGGCAGGTTGCGCTGTGGTGATGATTCCATCACACTGGGGACGAAGTTTTTGGCAAGCTATGGTTCATGGCCTCCTTTTCGTGTTGCAAGTTGGTCCGCGACACAAAGTCCTTCTTGACCTTGGGGCGTGTACCCATCCGGCGGCTCAGGAAGACGCTGGAAAGACCAGCCTCCGGCACTGTGAGACCCACAAGCCCTAAGAGCAATGGAGAGGCACCGGATGTGCAACACAGCCTCAGATTCATTGTGCTCTTGTCTTTTTGCATGGAGTGAGCATCCTTGAAAGCACCGAGTTGAAGTGCTGTGAAGTTCAGGTAAGCACTGCCAGATTTCAAGCAGTGAATCATTTTGTTTGCTATTGCAGTTACTTAGTTGCTTTCCCCGGCACGTGATTTAGATCGAGCATTTGCAACACGAGCTGTGAATGTTCCTTGGGGTGTCGTCTAAAACGCGCTTTGAAGAAGCTATGTGTTTTTCTCCGTGCTGTGTTTGCTTTGAGTCGGCCGTGTGTGTTTTCTGCGTGGGGGTTCCGACAGGTTTCCAGTGCTCTCGAAAGAGCCTAACGAAGCAGCAAATCGCTTATGTGCCAGGCTGGCGGGGACGAGGACAACGTCTCCAAGGCCTTCATGTCATGCTTTGGGCCCACAAGAGCAAGGAACAGAATGTCCAACACTCGCAGTCATGTCAAGCATTGGAAAAAACCTTTGCGCAGAAACAGTACTGACAGTGCCCAGTTGACGAATGCACAGTGGCTTTTAGCGACCAGAGGGGCAACACAGCTACACAGCCGGATCTGCTGGAAGATTTGCTGGGCTTCAGAGCCTCACCCCACTTGTTGGCTCATGTTGGTCTGACCTGGCCTACCGCAAACCTGCATGCAAAATACGATTGAGTCATGTTGTTGTTTTTTTCTCCATGGCAGGTCAAGGACCCCTTAGTTGGAACCACCAATCCAAGTCAGCGATTGGAGGGAAGCTGGTCCAGTTCTGAAAACCGGGGTGCTTCACTGCCGCTGCCTGGGGGCCACGTGCGACTCCCGAGTGGCGATTCGGACCGTTGCGACAGGAAAAATTGGTTAGCCCTGGTTTCTGATTGCATCAAATACTCACGCCATTTGCACAGCCAACATACAATTGTCATACAATATCGTGCGTTTGCAGCAGCAGTGGCATGCCAACACAAGCGTTTTATGTTTGCATCCTGCCTGCCGCTGGACCAGCTGCGGTGAGCCTTGCGTGATGTCAGCAGCCGAATTAAATGCAAATGCAAACTCAAAACTCGCTGGCATTCCGCCCAACAGTTCTATTCTTGCATCCGGCCGACATGGGCTGACAAACTTGGCCCCCGACTTTCTGCAACATGGCTCAGGACCACGTTCCTAGAGGCCTTTCTCCGAATCTCAGTGAAGTCACAAAGGGAGATGTTCAATCTACCCGAAGCATACCTTCGAAACCATATCCCCAGTTTGCTGTGCTTTTGACCGAAGCGTACCTCTGAAGCATAGCCGCCAAACATGCCTTCTTATGCACGAATCTTAAGAAACAGATCCTGTGAGTACATGAAGGGATTGTGCTCAATCAGCTTGATTCCAGTCCTGTGTCAGCACTATAATATTTTTCCCTGCTGGCTATGCGGCACCCGAATCCACGAAACCCATCAACATCAACCATCAGAATCAGATCGGGCCGGGCCTCCTTGCAGTTCTTTGGGTTTCTGGTCAAGTTTGTCCGCGCAGGCCATATCCTTTTACTCCAAGAAGGAGGTCAACGAGGATGAGTTCCAGGAAATCTTGGAGGAACAAGGCAGGAGGTCTGTTGGTGAGCAAAGAGCCGCCGAAATTCGAAGCGCATGAGATACCGTAGTCAGGTGGATTTGACGGAAGTTATACTCACTGGGCGCGGCAGGCGTATTTCCGCTTTTGGGGCTGCAGGCATGTGTGAATTGGTGTGAGTGTCTAGCGGAGTTTCAGTGTCCTTGTGCAATCGGGGGTTCTCCCAAAGCTTTGACACCCTCGCAAGCCTCCTGCGGAGCCACTCGTTTCACCACTCAGACCAACTTGCAACGCTCTGAAGGAGTGGCTGATGTAGAGAGCAACGAGGAGGAGGTCGAAAAGCCCAAGTTCGCGGATAGCATGGCGCGTTTGCTCAATTCAGTCGCATCGAGTGTGGCTTTGCGCTGCCAGCTCAGGAGTTTGAGTCTGGCATCGGCTGCCTGATTGCGCTCAATGCTCTGATGATGGGCTTCGAAGTGGATTTGGCGAACCAGGTGCGGGGCAAGACGTTTGCGGGCGCCACATGCCTTCTCTTTCTCTTAGAGGAGCCCGCCAAGCCCATAGCTATGACGATAATCCCAGCCGTTAATTGGCGGCTAGGCATCAAACATGTAAGTGCTTCAACATTGAATCTCGAACCGTCCCATAGAAGTGTCCAGCCAACAAATAGTCGTGCCCAATCAGCCAAATCCAGGATGTGTCGCCTCAGCTTCTTGGAGGTTCCCCCAAGCAACGACGACCCTTGATCACAGCCTAGTCTTCTTGCATGGCGTTGCTGAGGGCACCAAGTGGACTTTCTACGCTGGCCAGCGCTTTTTCGCAGGTTTCGTTTGCTGCCGAGATGCTCTGCCAAGACTTTTTTGTATGAGCAAGACACTGCAGCGTTGCTGTGGCAAGTCACTATATTGTGATCAGAGCCACCTTTTTTCTTCTGGGATAACCCTCGCTGGAACTACTCTTTCGGACCAGTCGTTGCAAGGGGTGCATGCAGCACCCTCATTTGTTGGTTTCAGTTGACGTTTAGTTTGTTTGTTTGGTGCTGCTTCTGCGGGGGGGTGGGGCCAAGCACCACCGCCACCGCGTATTTGTCGTCTTTGTTCAGTGGTGGCAACCAACAGAAGCGCCAACACAAGTAATGAGACTTTGTCCTTTTATGGCCATCAGATGTCATCAGAACGTATTCTCAGGACAGCGTGTTACCCAGTCAGAGAAACCTGTGTTTGATCGAGATGCAAAGTAGCTCCTAAGAGGCATTTTCTTTGCCCAAGGCCGAGATCAAGGGGCGTGGTTTGGTTGGGAAGGCTTGGATCGGGGGTTTTGTCACTTGGGCCCAGGGGGATGTGGGCTGGATTGTGTTGGAGAACTTCTTCTGCGTGCTTTGGATCGTGGAGATGTTGCTGAAGCTGCACTCTATCCGCCTGATGTACTTCTACCAACCCTGGAATGCAACCTGGCAAACTGGGTGTTACGACCTGGGAACCGCAACCATCCCCCCCTCCCCCCCTCCGGCATTTGGACACCTGCCCAAATTTGCCAGTTTTTACAAGACTGCTTTGTTGCGGTGGTGGTCTCGCTCGAAAGGCATGTCTTGGCCGGTCGGTCTTGGGCAGGTTCGTTTGTACATTGCGCGCTGGGCCCATTTCTAGCCTCGGATTCGGGCAGCACTGGGCAGCCAATTTGAAGACCTCTATGCCTGCAACCTTGTAGATCTCTTGATTTGCAATTCAACTTCAGAGATCCTTGTCTCAGTGTGATCTTTGTCCCTCCGACGTTGCCTTGTTTCTTTGGCTGCCCGGAGGCTGCATGTCTGCTGAAGTTTGAGGTTTTTGGGTGAGGATGGCGAGGCACAGCCGCGTCAGCTAAGATCCTCGACTTCTTCCTGGTTCTACTGAGCGTAGCGGAGGCTTGGGTCATTCCAGCCCTCTCAATCACTGGCGTCAGCGCCTTGGGTAGCCTACGCATGGCGCCTTGGCTTTGCAAGGCTTGTCCGGTTTCGCTCGTTGGGTCATGGGGGGGTTTCCGCTGTTCCGTTCCTTCAGCTATTGGGAAACCAAGGCGCATATGCAGACAAATAGCCGCTGCAAGTCCCCCCCCACCACCCCACCGCTTTGCTGTGAAAAACCCAAGTGGCGTCCCGGATGCCTAATACCCCACCCATATCTGGCCCTCCAACTGCCCGCATCAAGGTTGGCAAGGTCTTGAAAAGCATTTGTACGACAATGATTCAATAAATCAACAAGACAGCGTGATTAGTGTTGGAGTGGGCCATGATGAAATCAATTTGATTTTGTGTTGTCCAGGGCTGGCCTTGCATGGTGCCCATTATGAACTTGTCAAACCTTGATGTAAAAAAGCAATCTGCGGTAGAGCATTGGTTGTTCTGGCCAGCATTTGTTGAGAGACGTGGAATCGAACCGTTGGGACTCACTGAACGGAAGCATTGCCAGAAGTATTGGCATTGGCATTTGCAAAGCAAAAAAAAGTATGATTGTGCATTTGTTGATTCTGCGGAGGATGGAGAAGGGCCATGTTTAAGGGGCTTTTGGTGGGTACCAAAAACGGGCGTTCAGATGGGTGGTTTGGCCAAGCCTCGGGGGTGCCTTCTCCGCTTTCCGCGAGGAGTTCAACCCACTGTGTGGGTTTGCTTAGCATTGCTGAGGCTTGATTTGCCATTCATGCCATTCATGCAAGAGTCCGGATGATCCAGGAGTGGCCACACGAGAAGCCAGACGGCTATAAGTCGCCTGTGAAGTCCGTGCTGCCACGCACTCTGGGCGATAAATTGCTGCCATAGCTTGGTTCGCAACCGCTCTAAGGTGCGGGTTCTGCGCATCCTTCGCCTCCTGCGGCTGATTCGGCTGGTGAGCCTTCGACTGGGAGTTGCTGGTTCGGGCCAATAGGACATGAGAGAGGCCATGCCACTGGTGGTTTCCTTGGGGACCCCCTGGGTTCATTCCCACATTCCCTACCTATTGCACCATCAAGTTTGAGATGGTGTCGTTTTTGTCTTCGCCTGGGAGTTGTAGTCTTCTGCTTGGTTTGCGTTGGTGTGTTCCCGGGTGTGGCGTTCGGGTTCTTTGCAGAAAGGCTTCGGGCCTTGCCACCGGGCCAGCCACTAACCAGCTTGAGGCGAGGTCGTTTGCTGTATCAGGCCTGTATGCCTTAGGGCCCTGCACACCAGCACTGTTCAAGGAAGATACCACATGATGTTCGTTCAAAATCATTGATACTTTGCGACATGGAGGACTCCCGAAATTCCCTCACAACTACCAGAGGACTCAGTGAATGTCCTCTTGGGGGAACAAGAAATGATCATTGTGGCTCACACGGATCGTTTAGGGCCAGGGTCCATTGAGAGGCGGCACGCGCTTCAGGAAACTATTCAAGAACCTGTGGCTCATCATCGTGGGCTTCAGGGAATCCTTGAGCACTCTCTTCTGGGTGCCCTGGCAGTCCAGTGGCAGTCCAGGAGTTTGAGCCGAGCAGAAGGGCGCCGAAACTCATCAACGCTCCCAACAGCTCACAAATTAACCTGAGCCAGAAATGGCTACATTCAGAATGTGTCCAGTCAGTCTGCTGGCTGGGCCAAGTGGCGTTGCGACTCAGGTGCTGATGCTGCTTTCAGTCGTAATCTATGTGCCCCTTGGCTTATTGGAAGATGTTGCTCCGGGGCACCAGCACATGCTGCCCAGCTTGTGTACGGCTGCGAGATTGTCATTGCGAGTTGGGGGGGGGACGGCGTGGGTAGACTTGATTTGCGGGATGGTGCATCAAGCAATCATGTCACTGCTCCGGAGGTTCGCAATATTTCTCCGCTATACGCTGAACTGCCAAGACCAGTTTCGGGATTGGGCGGATGCTCGGCTTCACTCTCACACCTTTGTACCCGTTCGTATGTTCGGAATAATGGATGCTGAGCGATGAGCAGGGCAGTCATGCATAAGGCACAAGTATAGTGAGCACTTTGACTGCAAGACAAGCTGTTTCCATGGGCGTAGATAAGATCATTGGTAAACATTAGTCACCTGCCTAGTCTCTGAACAATGCATTCACCATGATAAAATGGTTGGCAGGGACAACAACTCATTCCTGGTTGTTTTTCCAGCCCCCACTACGCCCAAGACACCAGACGTTCAATCAATGATGGCGTAGAGATGGCTACCTCAAAGTCAACCTGGATTACTCAGGCCGATGTTTACAGCAAGAACATGTAGGGGCCCCGCTCAGATGACGACAACCCCGTTCACTCAGCAAGCGCGGTTTGCGCTCGGTGCAAGATCCACAATTTAATTGCGGCATGGTGATCCTTGATCTGGGTCCCAGACAGAAGGCAGACCAAGGCAGCAAACGGCCTTTTGTGCTTGCCTGGCTTGCAGACATGTTGATTTTTGTGAGGCCAATGTCTACAGGCATTAGCCAGCGTCACCCTAAGGATTGCTCCGAATACTTTGGTAGCATGCCTGCAGCGCGCCTTGGCGGGAGATAGCGTCCATGCTGCCAGCTACTCCAATGCTGCGGTCAATTCATAGCTGCGGTCAATTCATGGAAAAGGTGACGGGCTGCGAGTTGTCTTTGGATGTCAGTTTTCATCCTCTCGAAGCCCCATGTTGAAGTGAATTTTCGCACAACTGATGCATATACTTGCACAGGTGTGTCCGTTCAACTGACGTTTGTTCATTGCGCGACCGGCACGGGCAGGCTGGCTCATTGGACCCATGTTTCAACCAGCTTGCGGCCCATCATTGGATATAGACTTGAGTGCATGAAGCTGCCGTTGGAGGTTGTGGAATAGATTCTTATAGAGCACGGGTCACAGCCAGGAAGGCGTGGCTGCGTTTCAGGTGTCCCTCCCCAATCCTAAAGTTCAAAGAATGGATGACCTCGAGCATCCTAGGTGCGGCAGAGAGAGAGAGAGAGAACATCCTAGAAGAAACTGTGGATCCTTTTCCGGCAAGTGTTGGTCGTCATACTGGGAAGACATATTGCCACATTTCGTGCTCCGAACTGCATTTTACCCTGTCTTCCGAGGATGTACAGCTTATTTCAAGTCATTACGCTGCTTGGCTGACTCCACTTGGACGCTTCGGAGGGTTCTTTGCATTTGAGGCACAGCATTGCACAGTGCTCCAAGTTCAGATGCAGTCAGCATGGTTCACGGTGTGAGGCAGGCCATGTTTGCTGTCTTATTCTCAGGGTGTATAGGGATTTACTTCACTGAGGCGACCTCCACATTAACAACTTGAAACCCCAACCCCGCTGGCGCATCTTCCCGACGACTACACAGCAAACACCTCATATCAATGGAAGTTAGTTCACTTATGGAGACCCCTGTGACCATCGCTTTGCTTTGACCTGGCACGGCCCCGCAACAGCCACAAGGCACTTCCGCCCAAACGCCGTCGCTTCACGCATTGCCACTGGCTGAAGAGGAAGGGTAGGCCAAGCCCCAGAGATTGGCATCGCCTCAGGCTGGAATCCTGGAGCCAGGCGAGGAGTTACGGTTTCGAACGGGGCAGCTTCGGGACAGCCCAGGTTTAGAAATGCCGAGTGGTGGCGCTTTGGAGAAGTGGCCCCGCGTTCTTCGGATTCCGTTTTTGCGGGGTGTGCTTTCTCAGGGCACAGCTGATTTGGAAACGTTTGTTGCCGGTAGCGCCCAGTTCAATCCGCACCCTTCGGCCTGCTGTGAGGTCTTTGCTCGGCCCATTCTCCGAGTTCAGCCAGGCTTTTTCGTGGTGTTTCTGCCCAGGCCTCAGTCAAGGCTGGGAAAGGGCGTATGTTTGATGCGTGCTGTTTGTGACTCTGTGTTTGGTTGCAGCCGTCTTCACATGGTATAGTAGGCTCGCCACATGCGTGATTGCTCCTGCTTTATCACGCTGCCCAGCTGTGTGAATACGGGAAAATGCCGGATCTGAGGCTGTTTCTCTTTCTTACCACATTCGGCATCCTGAATATCATTGTCGGCGTGATCGTGGAGAACACGCTGAATGCTGCAAAGCAGAATCAGGAACTTCAGGCAGGAGATGGGAAGAGGGCTGCTTGACATGCGCGCTTTCGTTTTGACCGCCAGACCGTTGTAAGAGATCCTCGGGAAAGGATGCGACTCCCTTTCTGCAAGCACTTTTGATGGGGCGGCCGGGGGGGTTCCAACTTGCTTTAGGTTGACAATTGGTTCTCGTTTGTTGAAGTTATGCGGCTCAGTCAGTTTTTGTGTGCGAGACCAACAACACTGCTGCTGCGCGTGGTCCAACACATGCAGCAGAGTACGTTGTGAGCCTTGAAATGTAGTCCACGACAGCCTTTGTGGGGAAGTGCCGGCCGTCCAGCTTGCAAGTTAGTTGGTGTTCAATCTGGCAGTGCACAGGGGTAGCCGAGAAGGGATCCTTTATTCGCCATCCACTGGGTAAGCCTTTCATCATATAGAGACACACCGCACCAGATTACTTCGTGGCAGGGCAATTTGTTGTTTGCTAAGTTGAGGGGGCAGAGGAGCAAAGAAGAGGTAGCCGTCAGGTCTGGCTTTGCATCTTGTTGGGGTTCGAGGTACTCAAGGGCTCGATTCTTTCCACAACCAGTCCTTTCAGCTGGTCTATGGCGATTTTCCTGAAAGACTCATCCCTGGCAAGAATGGGACAGTTACCACCAGAATTACTGCTCTTCTACTGTTTTACTTGCAGATGGTTCGCCAAGAGGCAGGTCACTTTGGGTGGCTGGTGCTAGCAGGAGCGCCGAATGCAGCGGCAATTGCGGCAGGAGAGGGTTTGACAACTGGGTTTTTGAGCCTGCATCCACGTTCTTTCCCTTTTGCCTCCATGCTCGTCTTCCTTCTTCTGCTTCTTTTCCTCATTGACTCATTGCTTAGTTGGTTTCTTGTGTGCGTGTGTCGGTATGCGGGCCTCAGCCGGCTTGAGGAGCTCGAAAGCATCCGGAGGCTCTTTGAAGAGGCCGACGCAGAGCCTCGGATGGAAGCCATTGGCAGGCCATTGGGCACTGGCTTAGGGCACTGGGTGGGACAAATATGATTTGTACACCACCTTTACAAGGAAATAATCATCATAACCAGTGGTTTAGACATGTTTAAGCCAATGGGTGGCCCCACCCTATTAGGGCGTGCGAGTGAGTTCAATAGGCAGCAAGCGATGAAAGGAGAGGAAGGACGGAATCGAGAAACCATTAGGCAAGCAACAAGAGCGTGGCAGATTGGCCGACGCACGGCCATTGACGGTGGTTGACGTGATTTTCAAAAGCAGGATGATTGGTGCAAAGCCTAGCATTGTTATTGCTGGCAATATGTCCCGTTATTTGTAGCACACGCCAGAGGTGCAGTATATGTATATAGATTTATATATGCATCTACCATTTCCGGGATAATCTGTTTGTGCATGCGTTTCTGGGAGGTTCGGCACTTTCCCCCTTTCAGCCTGCATCCCAGGGGGATTTCAGTTCGGAGTTCGGATTGGCCCATGCGAGTTCAGAAAAGAATCGCACAGCAGGTGCTTATTTGCAAGGCCTCTGTGTGTGTGTGTTGAACATCATGGGACAAAAGGCACGCCCCGCCCTTTGGGCAGAATCTTCATCAACTGCTCATTGACTGAGCAATGGAACACGTTAATGTCCACCTCGCCAGCTTCCCCAAACCATGTTTTCTTACATGTCTCTTGTCTAAGAACTGCCCGCAATCAAACCCACAAGGGGGGTTAGTACTTCAGGTCGCCAATTTGACTTTTTTCAGGGGCCCCTGGAGTAAAGTCTTGGTGCCTCCCCCCCATTGAAAAGAAGCTCCAGTTAAATCAGTGGACACCCAATTACTTAAGCCAAACATCTTAGAAGCAAGCTCCAGCAATGCTATTGTTAGGGGGGCCCTTTACTAATCCCACACGCACATGAGTTTCGAAAGATTGCTACGAACCTGTGGCAGTCACTAGTTTATTCCTGGGGCGGTATTGCCAACAAGCGTGTTAGAGATGAGTTTGTTCGGCTGCATTGGCTGCGGCACACGGGCAGCGTTCCATCGAGCGGGATATTGCCGGGCAAGGCGAATCTTGCCAGCAGGATGTTCTCCACAATTAGTGGGGAGAGGCTCCCTTCAGGATTGCACACTGAAAATTACAGCAAATGACTCAGCGCGGCCAGATAGATTTCACCGGGGCATCGGGGAGTTGCGCCGGGGAGCATGTGTGAGCAACTGGCAATCCACCAGCATCTGGCCTTTTGGCAAGCCGCGCTTGTGAGCTTAGCTGACACGGAGCCCTCCAAGAGAATGTCTGCCTCCAAGCACGGCCCTTGATTTTAGCGCTGTCTGAATTGAACCCTTAGCCGGTTGCCGGGCAGTCATCAAGTCGCGTACGAGGGAGGATTTAGACTGCTAGCATCTTCGAAACCCGGAGTTGTTCCTTTGCTGGCATTTGTTCAAGCCCCATCAGGCAGCGCTGTGAGATGCAGCAGTTTCTTCATATCGCTACCTCTTCCGACACGGCCATACTGCGGATGGGCGAAATCCTGCACCACCTGAACCTTGGGGTGATGCTGCCCCTGATATTTACCCACGCAGGGTTTTAAAGCTAGTGCGGAATGGATTTCGTCCATCCACAGTATGGCCGGATTTGGTATGTCGCTGGTCGGATCCCGAGGATGGCAGCGGCACTCTGGAGCAGGCGGAGTTCGTAGCGATCCTCTCGGACGGAGTGGTGCAGCAGACGCTCACCCGCCCATAGCCCAGGAGTGAACCGTGCGGGGAAAATCTGGCGAGGCGGCTGGAGAAAACATGTCTCAGGTAAAGGTTTTACCCAGCTTCGACTTTTGTGCGCTCCTTCCCTGAAAGGGCAGACAACAGCTTGTGCAATACATGTAGGGAAAACTGTTTGTAGAACTGGGCGAAGCGGGTGAGAGTCAGGGGCGGACGAGAGGCATCGGAAATGAAGCCTACCAGCAGGCGGCGTTGGCCTGCAAAAGAGTAATTAGTAGGGGGAAGGAACTAGGGGTCTTTGGAGTTAGGGGGTCTTGGTCATTGGAAGGATAAACAAAGCCTCGCATCAGCATGAAGGAGTCCCTCTTTGGGGGGTCCCTTTGGCCCACCTGTGGCCGGAACTGTTCCGACTTGGGATAGTCCAGCGTCAAGATGCATGATGCGCGGTCTAAGGCATGGAGATCCCAATCGAGGATCCAGGAACTCTCTTTGCGATCCTGGATCCCCAGGCTCATGTTGCAGTGTTGCAGGTGTCACTTGCTAGAACATCTTTCTTAGCTTGGGTGTGGCCATTTGCAAGCGTCCCAGGATTGGATTTGATGTCAGCACGGCGGAAGTGAACAACTAGAAAGTGCAGAAACATGGGATGCAGATGTTTCGTAGCTGAACAAAATCCGTTGCCAATCCATTCCCGCAAGATTTAAGCTCTTGTTCCGTACAGCTATTTTTGCGCCTGCCCCCCCCCCCCCCCTCGCGCCAGAACAGTGGCTCCTTGAGTTTCCCAACCTTCGCCCAAGGCGGGGAGGGATGAGCGAAGCGAGCCTGAAACCGCTGCGAGGATTATCATAGGCCATCAAAGGGAATGAATGTGTTCAATGCGTAGCGCGGCAGAAGGGTTCCCGTTTTTGAAAGGGGTCTGGGTCTCGCCATGTGAGTCAAGCATGTATAGATGTTGACATACCAGCTCCGGACTGCAGCCGCGGAAGGTTTGCGGAAGGAAGGAACTTTGTTGATTTGAGAGTAGTAGTTTGATTTCGTTTGCGCGGTTGTTGCCAAGCGTATTTACTAGAAAACCGCGCACACGAATTTCCTCTCGAAAGCTACCTTCCTCAGTTTCCAGAAGCAACTTGCCAGCGGAAGCCCCGCGGAAGCACCTGTATAAGCTTCATATAGAAACATGCTCGCGGAAGGTAGCCTTCACACCGTGGAAGCTTCGCGGAAGATCTCGCGAAAGGGTTTGATACGTCAATGCAAATTTAAAGAGGAGAAACCCACCACTCATGTGTTCGCGAGATGCGTCACTGCGTCCGCAAGCCTTCGCAGGTGGCAAAGGTTGCTGTCAGAATGTGCGCTTTGTATGACTTGCAGCATGCAGTTTTCGTTGCGCCTGTGCGCAAATCGTGTGAGGTCGCGTGCCGTTTCGCTGCGCAGGCGCAGTGTTTTTGAAGATTGCGTGCCTGTAGTGCCGCCGCTGCGTCATTGCGATTTGCGTCTCAGGGTTTGTGGCTTTGAGGCGTTTTGCTTGGCGGGCGCGTGCAGGGGCTTGCGCGAGTGTGATTTTTGTTGGTCCTGTCGTGCAATCGGCTCGTTTTGGCGAGCGGAAAGGTTGTCAAACCATTCTGGCACCACAGCCCCGTGCATGCTAGTTTGTGACACGCGTCGTAAACGTGTCAAGTTTGGATTTGAGGCGCGGTGCGTTCCGTGGTGGGCGCGGCGCACGTATCGCCGGAGGCACGCGCAGATTTCGTGGCAGCCGCAGCACTTTGGAGCTCATCGTGTTGATTTCGTGGCGGGCGCAGCACTGGCCGGCACAGGCACAGCTCTGTGGAGAGCGACTCGCAGGTAGATAGACAGATGTATAGACGGGAGAAATATAGCTAGACAGATAGACAGACATAAGCAGAACGATAGCTAGATATAGGCGAAAGAAAGGAAGACAGACAGATAGACAGACAGATGTACGCAGACAGACTAGGTAGACAGAACGACAGACAGGTACATCGACGATAGGGCCAGTTAAACAGATGTACAGGCTTTAGTAGAAGAGACTGGCAGATAGGTAGATAGATAGATTGGTTTGTGAACAGATAGAAAACTTAAGATTGGCCTAGATAGACAGATTAAACTAGATGGATGGATGGACAGAGTAGATTAAGTTAGACGGAAACGGACAGCTAAACCCGGTTAGATTAGAAAGAAAGATGGGTAGATAGAATAGATGAGCCTAGGTTAGATTAGATAGGCAGATGGATAGGTTAATTTCTTTAGACAGATCGAATAGGCTAGATTGCGTCAGGCTACACTAGATAGATTGATAGAAAATTAGGTAGGTAGATAGACGAGATTGTAGAAGGGAGGATGGTTGATAGAAGGATGGGTGGGTGGATCGACAGGCAGATGGATAGACAGGAAAGTAGCAGAGATAGAAGCAAATCATAGGTTAGACTGGTAGAGATAGACGTTCCTCTGCGTACGTGGGCAGACGTTAGGCAGAAAACCAGGTAGATACATAGACGAACACATGCGCAAATAGATGCGCAAATAGGTGCATGGATGAATAGTCAGGCAGACGGAGAGATAGGAGGCACACAACGGGTGGGCAATTGCTCCGCCATCGGGCCCGTGGCTTCTATAGCAGGTTTCTCGCCAACTTTAGTACCTGCAAATGTTTGCCATAACACGTAGTGGCGCTGGGCAATGTGGCCATCTCTTCTGGGTTGCGCTGACCTATTGTGAAAAGGCAATCCATCTATGTGGGTCCATTTCGGGGGGCGTGGCCTGATGAATCTTCAACTGCCGTTGAGAGGGTGACGCTTTGGGTGGTGACAGTCGGGTGATGGTCCGCAAAACTACCATGACTTGAAATCCTCCAGACGGAGCTTTGGGGAGCATGTGCCACCTGGCCTTAACAAACCACTGGGCCCTGACACTTGTTAGGCCACAGTTGTTAGGCCACAACTGCAGACTTAATTACTCGCCAGGCGTGCTCAAGATCAAGGGCCCACCGACCCAACTGGTACCGACCCTAGTTTTCAGAACAAAATCTGATTGTGGCCAGTAGCGACGTCAAGGATATACCATGCCTTCTGGCTGCGCATCAGGCTCAGCTTTGTGAGTAACAGCCAGTGTGTCACTATCATACCGTGATTTTCCATTGCCACGTAGGTCTTGACGGTTTTGACCATATCTGTTTTTTGGCAATGATTCCAAGACTGCCTTATTCATATTGTTCCCTGACTGCAGCGTGGGAACTGCTTAGGATATGAAGACCATGCAGCTGGGCGTTTGGACCTCGGAACCTCCTGAAGGGAGCGGAAGGGATGTCATGGTCCAGTTTTGCTGAGGCCCGTGCTGAGAATTAGACATCATCAGCAAACATAGCCAGCCTGATTTGCGTGTCAGGGCTAGAACCACCCACCTCCTACAAAGCGAGTCTTATGCCTTTCGACTACTTCTGAGCTTTGGGTCTTCTAAGTTTGTTTCTTTCTACCAGCAGGGTGTGATAATTATATTTTGAGCCAACCAAATGAGCCCCTTTGATGGCTGGGTGAAATGGTTAACCCTCCCGAAGTGCCAGCGTTTGGCAGTGATTTGACTGGAAACCAAGCTTGGTTCGCCAGCCGTCCCGACGACAGGTCGCCAGTATCTCCCGACGCGTTGCTAAAGTTGAGCGCCTTGGCCAGACAGAAAGAAAGCATGGCACATCGTGAAGGTTGAGAATCACCAGAGTGCAAACCTTTGAGTCAACGTGTCGCTGGCAAGTGGCATCCCTTCTGTTACCATCAGTGCCAATTGTCTGAAATGTGATGTCTTGCCAGCATGTTACATCTCTATGCTGTGAGAGGCCGCACCCCATTGGTCGCGGCGCATTTCGACCTCAGACTGGGGTCATTATTTTGACTGTTTCTGGGGGTTATCAAAGTCAGAACATGTGGTTGTTTCCCTTTAACCCACCACTGAACGGGGGTGACTTTGGTAAAATAACGAGTCAGACCTAAAACGCTCCCAGGCACGTCATGGAGAAGCAAACTGAGATGATCGCCGCGAACATGGAAATGCCGGGCCACCCAGCCTGGGCCGATCCAAGGCTCGCTCGGCTGATCCCCGTGGATTCGGAGGGTCGGCGGATTCCCGTGGCGGCTATCCACGGCATTGCGCATGGCCCCCAACTTTCTGAAGAAGATTGCACATGTTTAAGCGGTGCGTACTTCTTGCCGGGCAACTCGCAACATGCGCTTCAGACTTGAATTTGTTTCGTGGGGGATGGTTCTCAAGTAGGCGAAACACCCACAAGATGACCACCCCCAAGAAGGAAAAAACAGAAAGCAATCCATTTTGCCTGCGGTCACCAAGGCTCAGCCTGCTGTTGGAGAAGCTCGGTCACAAGCCACCAGACAGCCGAATCTCCAAAGAGCCGCCAGGCCGAATCTCCAAAGAGCTGCCAGGCCGAATCTCCAAAGAGCTGCCAGGCCGAATCTCCAAAGAGCCGCCAGGCCGCAGCTCCAAAGAGCCGCCAGACCGAATCTCCAAAGAGCCGCCAGACCGCAGCTCCAAAGAGCCACCAGAGCGCAGCCGAAGCCGAATAGAAAGGATGGCTTCCCACGAGACGGACATGCAGGCAGGAATGTCGAAGACGAGTTACCATGGCGTCGCAAGACGCCGAGGCTGCATACGTGATTGAAAGCTAGACATGCAGGGCTTGCAAGCAAAATGCTTCAGACAATCTTCCATTTGGGGCGAATTTTCGCTTTGGATCTGTAGGGAAGTTGGCCTCTTCACGCTGCAATCCATGTGTCTTTGCGCTGGAAGGACCCCATAGAGGTGGAGAGCATCGGTGGTGAGGACAAAGACGAGGTGCACAAAGCCTTTTCGAACAGCAGCTGCGAGATGCCAGCGGCTCAGTCTCAGGGCATTTCGACTTATGACGTTTGACCTCCCATGTGTAGTCTGTGCAGGTTTGGAAGGGGGGGCTTGCGCTCCATCCCATCCTGGCAGGTCATACCTTCAACTCCAAAAACATGTGTTGCAATTGTCATGATCCACCACTCGCATGTCAGAAGCTACAAACAAAGGCTTGAACACCCCCCACAACCTGGCAGCTTGGCGACCGCAACGAAGCGCCTTTGCTGGTCAGGTTGCGAGAAACTAGCAACAGCTTCCGTCCTGCTCCACAGCCCTCAGCGCACAAGGCTGGCTCTTGGCGGATGCTGGCTGGCCCGTTTGGTCTTAGTTGGGGGTGTTAGACATGGAGCCCTTGAAAGAGCATATGGCTTCACGTCTTAGCCGCGTCGGGATGCTCAAACGCAAAGCCCTCTGCACCTCCCATCAACTGGACTCAACATCGCAGCTTGGCCGGAAAAGTGATTCAGACGGATGTACTTGTGAGGAGGTCACTTGGACCAGTGAACGGGTGACCCATTTGGCTTGGTCATGTTGGGGTTCAGTCAGGTCCTTCCCTGGGGAAATGGGTCAAAGGGCAGCCACCCTTAGCATTGAACCCCCCCCCAACGTGTTCCCAAGAGACCTAGCGTCACGCACTTTGTGGGGTCCCTTTGCACCCGCCAGGCGCCACCGGTCCCGGGCTTTTGTTCGCAGTAGATGTCGCTGAAACGTTGAACTGCAAGCTGCAAAAAGTGCAGCGAGGCTTTGGACATGGAACTTTTGTGAGTTTGGCCCATTGAAAGCCTTGGTATGGCCACATTTGTTTGGTTGGAAGGCGCAGCTTTGAAGGCTGCAAGTAGTTGCGGTCTAGTGACCTGCGGCTGCATCGTGAAGGCAAGCGGCTGTATGCAGTGGGATTTCAAGCAGGGCAGCTTATGATCAAACAGCTCGCAGTCACATTTGATAGTATGATATTTAACCCGGGAAGGAGTCCTTTGTGCTTGGAGCGCTCTTCAGGTGTTCCTGCCGAGCGCTTTGTTAGTCAAGCCTGCTCTCCATACACCCGCTTGGGCCAAGACAGCCAATACGACGAATTCGACGTTTGAGGCAGCGGCCTCCGAATGGAGAACCGCTCGCCCTCAGTGCCTGGCGCGAGCTGTGCCAGTCGTGGAAGATCGGGTTGCAGGTGCCGCGTTGAGGCACAGCCGGGTCGAAGAAAGTGGAGTGATCAACCAACGGCCAGGTGCGACTTGAGCATGTGTTCAATGATCGAGGTCGCGATGGGTCAGAGCGATTTGGGGAGAAGTGGACGTGGCCGATCATTCAGGAGCATCCGAACGTGTTGATGCTTTGCCCCACTTTGGACCTTGGAGACCATGAGCGCCTTGCAGCGAGGGTCATTTCACAAATACAATGCATTTGACAATTTCTCCCAGCCATTGTGACGTGACAGCTGATCTAGTTTGCCTGATTCTCTGGAAACTCTGAGACTCCGCTTGACCGTGCCCGCAGTTTCACTCTCACAACTCCGCGTGAGGCAAATCTTGAATTCAACATGACGACTGTGCTGGCTGGATGTGGCCTGCTAACCTGCCCGTGCTGCGAAGCTTGTTTTCACTTTAAAGGTCAGGTCTTCGCGAATGCTTCCCACTCGCAGCCACGGGTGGCCCCACATCCGAGCCCAACATGGTCCAAGCCAACCCGGAGATTTTTGCATGGCAAAAATGAGCGAGGCGCACGCCGCCACATGATATGCTAAGCATTTGTTGCACAGCGTGCCCGTTGTAAACGGTGGTTTATCCTGGTCGGTGGGATACAAGCGAATTCCCAGCAGGATCATTGCCGAAGGTCGTTCTATGATGCTTTGATTCACACCACTGACGCCATGCATGAGACTTGGATGAGGATCTTCTAATCCTTACTAGCCTACGAACAAGGCGAAGTCCGCTGTGTGTTGGTGACACCCTGTCTCCTTATGAGAACAGGCCAGCGCAATCACCTTCTATCTTTCTGTGATAATTGAGGCCCGACCGACCAACACCAAAATTGTGATAAGTTTTTCCTCGGCGCCGAACTGCTGCATCTGGGAATTTCGTCTGAGACAAGCCTGCCATTCCCCCCCCACTACCCCCCACCCCCCACCCCCCAACCCCTCACCCCTCCCCCCCAACCCAGATGGTTGCCTCGAGATCCAGATCGCCCGAGAGGTGCAGCGCCGGAACACCATCCTCATGGATCTTTTGCACCCGCAGCTTTGCAGACACTCCGGGCCTTGAATCGAAGCACCGGATCGCCTCCCACCACATAGGGGGTCCAAGACCATTTTCCTTTGAGAGGGAACCGCACTGGCGGGCTTCAGGTTAAATTGGTGGGAGGGTTCTTGCTTGAAGTTGGTTTCTCACCTTGCGCCAAGGAAGCCAGTGCCGAAGACTTGGGAGAAACCGGAGATCAACCTGGCCCTGGCGTGCTGAGAGAGGGCTGTTAGCAGGCACTGAGCTCATGACATGTGCCCCTGTGGCCATATTTCCATTCCTAAGAGCTGCGAATTTGACGGAAGAGCACGTTGTTTATTCCGACTGCTTCCAAGGCCCAAGGGTGCAGCTTGCGGACCAGATTGCAACCAACAAGTACCTTTGCAGCCCCGCCTGCAAAGCCGTCGAACACTGTTACTTGCGGGTCATAGTGACATGGATCCCAGGGGTTGACGGGCGTGTGGATCTGCACTGCGCGAGATGATTTGCTTCGTTGGCATGGCATGACGAGTGAAAGGCATGAGTTCAGGGCTGCCGGCAGAGAAGGGAGTCTAGGACCATGCTTGGGTGGCAAGCAAGGGATGCGATCGGCGTCCAAGTCATGTTTGCAGCCAACTTTCGGCAATTTGGTGGAGCTGGGAATTTGTTGCTGAACCTTTTCTATCAGTCGGGGCACACGTTGACCATATTTTTTTTCGCAGGGATGATGCGGCAGGCTGACTGTCAGGCTTGCCTCCAAGCGTTACAGCATGGCTCTGGCTCCCGCGTGTTTTAACATGTATTACATTCAGCGCGAGAAGGGCCACAGAGCCATTCTGAAGCGCTGGGTTTGTACAGGAAGTCCCAGGTTATCGAGGTAGGCAACTTGAGGCGCCTTTCCGGGTGGAAGAACCAAAGAGCAAACTAGGCTTGGTTCTTGGCACGGAACGGGGCCTAGCGGGCCACGTCTCATTGGCCACGTTGCCACAAAGGACGCTCATCAATTCCGGGCAGAGGCACGGCGCCATTTCAAGGAGCGCTGGCTCGGGCTTCGGACAGTGCGAGGCTGGCCGGAAAAGCAGGCGCCGAATGTCACCGCGCGCGAGCCTTCAACCCAGTTGTCAGACGCACCCTTTTCCCTTCATGTCTTTCCATCACTGGGACTGCGTGTTGCTGGACGTCTTTTGAAGAGTTTGGGTAGTTCGAGCGCTTTAGCTCCGGGCGCAACTTGCGGTCGTGATGAGGCTTGAACAATGGCCGCTTCCAATGCTTTGCTTCATGCTCTACTTAGACGGCAACACAAACACAACTGAGCCAGTTTCTCGTTGCCCATGCCCTCCGCCCTTCTTCCCCAGACAAGAAGCCAGAAATCCGGAGGTGTCATAGTGGCTTGTTTGGTCTTAAGCCTCAACTTTCTCTTGTTGCGGATTTCGCGATGGCCTGTTTTGCATTGCAACGCCAAGACGCTCAGGGCGAGGAGATGAATGAGCGCCGGTCCAAGTGCCAGAATTTGGCCAAATCTTTACACTGGGTTGGACGAGGCTGCAGTCTTCAACGCTCTTGGGACATTTGGTGGGCCGACCTTTTGACCTTTCAGACGTTTTGTCCAGTGCTCTCCGTGCTGTTCAGCTTTAAGTATGTTGGGAGCAACATGCCAACCTGCTATGCGCTCTTCTTCCGCATGTCAACTGCTATTGAGCTGCACCATTTGTCGATTGATGCAGGAGCATGTTGTGAAGGGTGATCTCATGGGCTCCGAGCCAAGGTCCTAAGGTGCATTTCTGTGCCTGATGGCAAGCAAGCACTTACTTATTTTTCCTGTACCATTGTTTGGTTCAGAGTGTGGGCCGGTGCTATTTAAGAAGAGCCGGCCCAAGCTGAAAAGTCCAATGTGGCCTCGTGATTGGTTGAAAACGGTCATCGCCTGTGCTATGCAAGGCGGTGTCGACTTCGTGTGTGACGGCTTACTCGGGGGCAACCTGCCGAGCTAGGCGATGCGTTTGTAATTTGCTCTCATTAAGCAACAAGTGCAAGTACGCGCTTTCTTCGAAGGAAAAACCTCTATTTCCGCTGGCTCGGAGCCATCGTCATGTAAATGTGGGCTCACCTGGCCATACTGAAGCACCGAGAGCCTCCAAACATGTGCGCTAGAACCTGCTTTTGTTAACGTTTGTATGGGCCTACTCAGACGCTCAAAGTTCCTGAACAATCTTCTCACTGTGACTCATGAAAGCCCTTCCTTGCCTGGTGGCCAGATTTACATTCTGCATTCGTTGTCCGTTAAATCAAGGCAGCTAAGGTGAGTGCACGATAGATTTCCTGCATGCAGAACAGGATTTGACCTGGGATCCCCGTGTAGCCCGCCTCAGATTGTGCAATGCGCAAAGTTGGCGATGAATGTGGTCTCGCGTTGCCATGCCTCTCACTTTTCACTGGGGAGTGGGGCAGTCGAAGGGTGTAATGTCAAGTTCAATGAATCTGTTGAGCTTTCTGGTTGCGATGGCATGCACCCTCCGGGCGCGATATGTGCTTTGGCGCACGCAGGTATAATATAATATGAGTTAGCGGATTGAGGTTGGATGGTTTGCTGTTCTGGGGGCATTCGTCGTATCCAAATGGGCTTGGTGTCGAACAGACTCCAGTGAGAAGCCGGTGTGTTGTGCATGTACGCATCGTTTCTCCGGACTGGCAGCCTTTGAGGCTCCATAGGTTGGCGGACCATGCAAGAAGCGCAGCAGGCCGAAACAATAGTGCGATCCAACCCTGCTTTGCAGAGTCAGTTGTGCGTGAACAGTTCCAGGCCACTCCAAGTTGTTTGGGTTTGCTTCAAGGCTGCTTGAAGCCTCAACTGCACAATGGACCATCAGATGTAACTTTACCGCTTTGCCCACACAGCGGCATCACTTCGGGCTGGGCAACCCATTTCTGGCAAGATTCGCTGGAGGGTTCGCATCCTGAAGCGGTTTTGGGCCGCGGGCGAGGTGTCCCGAGCGACATGTGACATGGGTGTCCGGAGCCCAAACTGCCCAGGGCGCTTTCGAAAAGTGGCAGTTGGCTTGCCGGACAAGCCAGCGGACACCGAGGCAATGCAAATGTGCAGCTGCTCGGAAGGACTGCGCTGGGGCATTCTTGTGACTGTCATTATTGCTCACCTGTGATGGACACACATCGCAAGCAGAATGTGTTGAATGTGCGGGTTATGGGCTGCGACGCTTTGAAGTGTTGCCATTGCTTGGAACAGCGTTGCTGAGTTTCTATGCGAACTCTCCCGTCATTTCCTGGCCATATCTTAATATGCCAAGTGTTCCAATGCAAATTAGAGCATTGGCTGCTTGACTGCTTTGGCACTAAGATCTCTTAGCAATCGCGGCAGCCATCCTGGCACATTTTTTGGCACAAGGTCCAAAACAGGCAAGCGATTAGGAGGCCACGCATGGTCAAGTCACTCTCGTGAATCTTGATTCAGGATGGCTACGTGTTTTTCCTCTTTTTTCTGCCTATGCTTGACCGTGCAATTGGATGGGCTCTTCTTGCCCCAACACAACATCCCACCAAAGCCCTCTGCCCGCTGGCCTTGCCATGACTTGATCGGTTGGCGGTTGGCGTTCTGGTGTTGCCCTATGCCGTTCTCCTGTCATCGAACGATATCGGCCGGCTTTGGTTGACAAATGTCGAACCCGTTCAACCCCCATTAAAAGAATGGTTGACCCAATTTGGATGATGACAATCTTTAGGTAAACAATGGTGGTTGTATGTGGAACCCGATTGTTTTTATTGTGGTTTGAACCCCAGGAGGCATTTTCAGGGGGCATTAGAGAGAGTCTTGCCTCTGCCCGTGTGCAGGTCCGAAAGGCCTGGCCTTTGTATGAGCTTGCGAAGACCTTTGAGATTGCCAGCATTTTACGCGAAGACGTTGGCAACATGTGGTCCCTAGACGGGATGAATATGTGTGTGGGGAATCTAGCTTGCATGCTGAAATATGGTGGCAATGCTAGAAATCTCAACAGGGCCCAATCACAGGCAGTATTGGCATTGGCAATGGGCATGTGCAGGGAGGGTGCTAGCAAGCGCAAGCGCTCCGCAATGGGGAGCACTGCGTAGCGGCGCGATGCGGTGAGTCCTCTAATTATTGCGAGTCAACCACGCACAACGCACAGCAATGCGATGATGTAGAATCAGATCCTTTCCATCACCTGTTTCTCAAGGAATTTATCAAATATAGTTCTGCCTCTACAAAGGAAAAGAGATAGAGGTGATGAATGGTGAGAGCTCTCTTTCCTGCTCTCTAACCCATCCATCTCCTCCGATTCCTCGTGCCTCACGTACAAGCTGCTATTATAAAAGTCCGAATCTCAGATACAGAATGGTACTGGCATGACTTGTCTCACCGCTTCCTCCTTGAGTCGTTGCAACGGGAAATGGAATGAGACAAGCCATTACCATCCTACGTTAAAACCCTGAAAATGAGAACACGAGATCTCGGCTCAGTTTTGGACACAAGTTGTGACAAGCTATGTTACCGGCCTAGCAGTGATCTTGCCTAAGAGTCTGATCCGGTTGGGTCTTGGAAAGCTTCGCGCTTTCAAGAAGTTGGTTAGTCACAAGGCTTGAGGCGAATCGCTGCCGTTTCAAGATCTAGCTCCTGCTTTGCAGCATGTCGTCAGACTGCGAAGCCTGGCTGCATCTGGCGGTTCAGGACCGCTAGTGGTCATCCAAACGGGAAGGAAGCTTTAGCCGTGCTCAATCTCGTACGCGGTCCAGGCCAGCGGAAACGAGGGAACTCCTTGTCTAAATGTTGGTCCGCGCCCTTTCAAGTGCTTGGGTACTAGCACTGCAGCTGGGCTTTGCCAGACTTCGGGCTAGCTTGCCAGCCATGTACATTCATGACTGCTAACCAGCCTGGCCCGAAAACAGGCAATGCGTGGATCGCGGTATATCTTGACATCTCTTGACCTCATTGGACGACACTGGCTGCAGCTTCAATGATTCAGGCTGAGTTTTGGTTGGGCCCCAGAAGTTTGCGGACTGACAACTGAGCCAATGTCACTTGCTACATGGTAGAGAAGTTCGTAGCTGCCGGGCTAAGTTCCGTGAAGACCAGTGGACTGGCGGCCGGGCACTATCTCCAAACTTCAATGAGTGCAGTTCTGGACACCTGGCAGGGGGCGCAGAAACGGTGCAGGAGCCCCCACAGCAGCTCGCAGCAGTGCGACAACCAGACATAAATCGGGCTGCCTTGCCAAGGACATGGACATGGTGCTGCAAAACGAGAGCCTGGCGACCACGCATCTGGGCTGCATCTTTGTGCCATATGCTTCAGCCCCTTTTTCTTTCTCACGGCAAGCGCCTCGAACAGCAGGCCATAAGACTGTCAGTGTTAATTTTAAATTGAAAGCATCACTGAATCAAGATGTGATGTGAGTGAAAACACATTTCAAATTTGAAAACATCATTGAAAACATCATTTCAAATTGAAACCACAAATTGAGAGGGCAAGATGTGATGTGAGTTCTCTGACGCCCTGGACCTGTGATGAACTCTGGACGGGGTGTTTCCCGTATCGGGCCGGGGGTAAAGTTCACTAAGCAGCGCTAGTGTGCCGTGGCAAAGCCAGGTGCCAAGGCGGGCCTCTACAAATCTATTTTTCTCAGTTGCAAAGAATCATGAAAGGACATTCTGCCGTCCATTGTTAAAGGAAGCCAATGCTGACAGTGCAGCAGCTCAATCAGGCGTGCACCTACGAAAAATATAAGAATCAGGTCTTCCCGGAAATGAACTGCTTGGCGGAGATACATTCCGGAGATACACTGAGTCCACAAACTGATCTTGACTCGATACTTGAAACTGCCACCCGTTCCCACAAAAACATGCGAACGCCGTGGGGGCTGTTTGCATGTTCTGCAGGTGTTTGAGTTTGCTTCTTCCTAGTTTGCATCCTTGAACTTTCCCTTTGCCATAGTTTGCCATGTCAGGTGAACATGGCGAATTTGCAAATAATGTTCGATGCTTGCTTAAAGGAACCCACCGGTCATGGATAACTTGACCATTTTCCAGACCACTTATTCAGCACTCAGTGGATGTTTGAGACACTTTGCCGCGACCGCCAACTCTGACTCTGCCCTAGGCCTGCCAAAGCACCAACCATGTAAGGTGTGTGTGTGTGTGTCCTTGTCGTGTGTTTGTTGTACGTGGCTAAGGCGCTTCAGTTCCATCGATGCTTGGCAGCAAGTTTCATCCAAGCTTCATCCCAAACATGTCCCAAGCCCGAAAGGCAAAGTCTGACCGAGCCAACCTATGATCTGTTCATCTTCTGTTTGCATATACGGTGGAACTTGTTGGGGCAGGAGGAGCCAGTTCGTTTGAGCTTGAGCACTTCTGAAGCCCCTAGATGGCATGAAAGGTTTCTTCCCACAGCCCTCAAACCCGGTTGAATGGGGTATGTGAAAGGCGTACACCCCAATTTCCCTGAAATTGGTGGTTTGCGGGTAGTGGAAGCCATCACAGAACTCTTTTGGGAACCCTTAAGGACACATGATACCCATATGAGCTACCACCAAAAGGGTCGGAACAAGGGATATGTATTGGAGTGGAATAGGGTCCAACACCCCCAAGAACGAAGGCGAGCCTTTAAAGCGGAGGCTTTTGATTGTGAGCAGTTTGCTCAGCCTTTAGATCCGCTTCGGCAATGTCGGCGTGTACGATTTGGGAGGAGGTTCGGTACGGCGGGATGCGTTTTTTTTTTTTTTTTTTTTTTTTTTCCGCGTGTGCTGATGCATTCGCGCTTGTCTGTGGAGCACTTGTAAGGCATGGTAGCCAGGTTGCACGTACTCTCCGCTGCAATCTTCCCCCCTAACAATTGTAGTTTGAGGGGGGGGGTACCCCAGTGAAATTTCATTTTTTGTTGCACTTTTGAGGGGGGGGGGTGAAACACGGGGGGGCCAAAATAAAAATGTTCGAAGGGGGGGACTCCGACCAAAACGGTTCTCCCGCTTGCGCCTGGGAGGACATTACTGGCCCTGGGGCCCGTCCAAAAACTGTCGCCTCTAAAGGGAAATGGCTCGAAAACCACAAGAATAATCACAACGCTTCCAAGAAACTGCTGCTTACGCTCAACTCAGAGAAGGTTTGCGTTTTTTCTGCGGGGTTGGGGTCCACAATTGACAGAGCGCTCGTGAGTTAACACACCCAGGCTTTACTTGAAAGGTCTAAGGGCCTCGAAGAAAGCTGGGCGCGAGCTGGCACGAAAAACGAAAGCTGAACGAAGGCAAAAGCGAAGGCCAATTTCACGAAAGTTTCGTTTCGTGAACATTGGCTGAGATGAGGGCTTGTGAAAAGGGTCCCCCTCAAAAGGGAAGCCTGTCGCTTCATGGACTTTGGAGCCAAGTCAACGCTAGAAGAAGCACGTTGTTTACCAACCCGCTCGTAGGGTTGTCGTAGGGCATGTCTGCTTGAAAGACTTCTGGCGAGGAGGGGGCTGTTGCATTCTGCGCTTCCCAATGGCACTTTGGAGACAAACTTCTCGAACGTAGCGAGGAGAGCTCAGGGTGCTTTTCCCAATGGCGTGGCACAAACTTGTCAAACTTGTCAAACATGGCGAGGAGAGAATGGCGCGGCCGGTTTTGGAGACAAACTTGTTGAACGTCGCGCGGAGGGCGCAGGGTGCCTTTCCCAATGGCACGGCCGGTTTTGGAGACAAACTGGTCAAACATAGCGAGGAGAGCTTTGGGTGTAGTGAGGAGAGCGCCTTTCCCAATGGCGCAGCCAGTTTTGGAGATACGTAGGGTGCCTTTCCTCCCAATGACGCAGCTGGTTTTGGAGACAACCTGTTCTGGAGACAAACTTGTCGAACGTAGGGCGCCTTTCTTAATGGCATGAGATCCTAGGGTGCCTTTCCCAGTTGCACAGCCGCTTTTGGAGACAAACTTGTCGAACGTAGCGCTTTTCCCAACGGCGTGGCCGATTTTGGAGACAAACTTGTCGAACATCGCGCGGAGAGCGCAGGGCGCAGGGTGCCTTTCCCAATGGCACGTCCGGTTTTGAGACAAACTTGCCGGAGATGCGAGGAGAGCGTAGGGTGGACTTTTCAATGGCACAGCCGGTTTTTGAGACAAGCTGGTCAAACATAGCGTGGAGAACGTAGGGTCCCTTTCTAAACGGCATGGCCGCTTTCCGAGACAAACTTCTTGCTGGTCTGAGAAGAGCTGTTGTATCTTTCCAAATGGCATAAGAAGAACTTGTGTTCGCATCACTCACGAACGACCAAACGGCCTCAAAAACGAAGGCGAGACGAGAAACGAAGGCGAGAGAGATATTCCAGTTTCGCGCACAAGGGCATTTTGGCGGTAACTCATATGGCCATGGGTCAAAATCCCGTACCCCCAGTGAACATCCCAATCCCCACTAAAATAGGTCTAAAATGGGTGGTGCACCCCCGAAATGGGTACCATTGGTTTGGACCCACAGCCATATGATTGGACACATGCCCGTCTGATTGTAGGCCAGCGCGGCGAGCTCGCCGCCGCGCCTGGACCGTTTGGTCGCCAGCTCTGCTAGCGAGGACCTCGATAGCCGCGATCGCCGCCTGGCTCGAAGCCTCGCGCTGGAAGTAGAGTGCAAGAGGATGAGTGGGTAAGTAAAGGGGATGGCCGGGATGGCGCTAAAACCAAGCAACAGGCTGGAATTGTGCCATAGACCGAATCACAGGGCTGTAAAACTGGTGATTGTTGTTGGAAATGCTTGGGGGGTGCAACTAATGATCCCCCAATCCGGACGTCGATGGCAGTGCGGCCTTTGAAGCTTCACGTGTATACCCTCCATGCGGTGTATGCAATACGTGAAGCTTCAGGAATACCTGTTGCAAAGGATGGGACGATGTTGCGATTGATGGCAGGGGGCGCATCGTAATTCATGATTTGAGATTCGGTCGTTTGCGCCATAGCTTGCTACTGCCTGGAACCAGGGCATTGCGGCATGAGCGGAACGTTGAGGACAGTTTTACACACCACACGCCTCGCGCAGACATGTGCAGACATTTCCCCAGGGAGAGGGCTGACAAAGTTGCCCAACAAGGCACGTCGGAAGCTTTTGTAGCTTGGCACTTGCTTGAATATATAATTGCGAACTTGAGGACAAAGCCGGTGCATGTGCGGTGGCCAGAGCTACAAGCTGTGATGGTTTTGGATTTGGTAGCTGGAGCTTGGGACTCCTGGTTTGCCTATTTCTCTTGGCATGTTTGCCGACTTGCCAAGGATGGGATGAGGATGCCGCCAGCTGTGCAATTTGCAACACTCTGCTGGGACGTCGTGGGGCGCTCATGGCGGGGGGGGTGAAAGGGGCACAGGCATGGCCATCTGTTACTGCACTGCTTTGCTGCGATTCTTGAATTCACAGAGGGCTTTGGACAGCGGCGCCCAGCGCCCAGGAAACTCAGAAGTTATCCGAATGCCAAGCCGTTAGCACGGCAACCACTCACTGCTCAGGGCGCTTGCGGCCCCGCCACCACTGCCGGATTTGTGGCAGATGCGTTTGCGCAGCTGGTCTGCACAATACTGCATGGGTTTGTTAATTGGTTGAGAGTCGGGACTTGGAAATCAATATTCTGTGGAGACTCCACGTGTCCGGCTTTTGCGGAGCTGACGCCTGATGAGGACTTTTGTCGTCAGAAGGTTTTGTCACCGTTTGTCATTGTGCCAGGGGTGGGTCATTGGCCCCTGGGTTGGCAGCACTGCTTTGAGTAGGCTCTTTCGCCCAAGCTTGCAAAGTTCCGACTCGCAAATCGCAACTGCCCAACTAAGGCGACCTGGTTTGGTGAGAGATATGCTGTCAGTGGTTTTTTTGTCAAGGGCGTCGCTGATTTTCCGCGTGTGCATGTTCTCTGGACACCCGCAAAGCTGCCATGGCAGCAGAGCAATGCACATAAGTAAGGTTCCAACAAATCGAAGCAATGCAGCGAGTGTTTTTGTCTTGAGGCGTCCTGCTCCCCGAGCATGGTCGCGATGCCTGGGTGCAAAGACCTCCAGCGAGCCTGCAGCCCTTGTTTGACCATTGCTGCTCGGCGGGCGGTAACGGGCAACTTGCACAGGTGAAGGCATGGCTGAGGTGCAGAACCCAACACTTAAAGCAACAAACCAATGTTGAGGCCAACACCTGCAATTTGACACGCTGTCATGCGTCTGCTTGGTTCAAGCAATCGACACCAGTTAGGAATTTATGTTGGTTCCAAGTGGCTGGTTCGCAAGCGTATGTGGGACATCGTGCATCTTTCATCCCGTGAGCAGGCGAACTCGTTGCATACTTGATCAAGCTTGCACATGCTGTCCCAAATGAACAAAAGTGAATCTAGTTCCTGGAGAGTGTGCGGTGCTGTAGTCATGTGGCTGTGTTTGTGGGACTGGTTTCTGGCAGTGCTAACCTCTCTTGTGGTTGCGCTGCTACTCATTGCGCGGTCTTCGACTCGATAAAACCTCAGTCTATCGGCATCGTGCTGCCTAATATGCCACCTTGTCATGGCTGCACCAAACCTTTGGATGACGAGCTTGCAATTCGCCTGGCAGTTTTCTGGCCCAAGCCTGGTGTACTGAGTGGGCTGGCGGGCAGGCCTTTGTGCACAATTTTTGGAGTCCAAGAGCTGCAACACCCCCAAAGCAACCACTTCGGCCCAGCCCAGCGGGGCCCGGAGCATTCGTATCCCTCCCGCCTGGCCACTGGCCACACCTGCAGCCCCCGGCTGCCGGCCCCGGCTGCCGGCGCGGCCGGCCCGGCACTCGCCATGGAGAGCTTCAAAGATTTGGTGGAGAAGCTCACCGCGGCGCACGAGCGCGAGGTCGCCAGCGCCCGCGAGGCCCGCCCTAGCTCTTTTTTTGTTTTCGGTGTTTGGAAAGAGCCGGGCGTTTCCGGGGTCCGGTTTTTGGCGGGTTCCCTGGTTGGCTTCCCTGTAGAGCCATCCGATGGTTCACCGTTTTGAGAAACTTGACAGCTGCAGAAGTGAGCTGAAGAAAGTGAGTACTTCGTGTTGGCTGGTGGTTGTCAGCACTTAGTTGCTTCAGTTCCAGCGTCTCATCTCCGGCAGTTGCAGCAATGTCAATGTTGGAGGTGTTTCCACGAGGGCCCAGCCCGGGAGGGTGTCCGTTCATGCCTCTAGCGGCAAGGAAGAAGCCATGAATTGGCATCTGAGTGATTATCAAGTTTCTTTGTCACTCTGGAGTCATTCATGCGCACGTGGAGCTACCGTGCTTTCAACAAATTCATCCCCTGGGGTATTCCAGCAGGTTATGCCTTTGATTTGTTGTATGGCGGATGCATGGGAGATGTTTTGAGTCGGTTGCGGCAATATGTGCCCAATAGTAGTCGTAGGCAAAGCTGCAGTGGAAAACCGGGGTTCAGGTACGAAACATTTGCAGAGTTGGTGGTACTCAGCTGGAAGGGTTTGATCATTTAGAGCTTCCGAGCAAAACGGTGTCATCGTTTCAGGGGAACTGCAAGTAATTCTTGGGTCGCCCAGGATTCCCCAGAGGCGCGGGAGAGCGAGCGAAAGCGGGAGCCACGGTATCTTTGGGCACATTGGGCTATCTTTGAGGCTTATTCGGCTTATTGGCTTCTTTCTGGGATATCAAGACGGTACTTGTCTCTTTTTCTTGGGTGTAGACTTGTGCTGAATAGGTTTGGAGTCTTGGACAAAATTGTGCAGCCACACATCAAGCTCAGATGCCGTTCTGCTACGCGTGGGAGCGTGCAACCATGGAGAACAAAGGTTGGTGCTTCAACCGACTCACCCTGAGTTGCTTCAGCCTGCAACTTTGTGCAAGTGAAACTTAGAATGAAACTGGTCACCCATAAATTGCACTGCGTTGTTTCTTCATGCGGACGCACTCACATCTGGCTCGTGCGCAAGCTTGGATCCAGACTCTCACACTCTTCACAAGTCATTGCCAACTGCAACTGCGATGTGCATTGGCTTGAGCTGGGGCACCTTTGAAGTTCGTGCCCATACAGGGCAAATTAAGATAATTCCTTCCGTTTTGCTTGCTCGTGCCAGGAGGCCACAAAGCTGAGAAGAGAAGTGGAGGACAAGGGATTGGTTCGTTGGGTCAGCGCCGTTCTCTACCTTGTCGCTTCTGTGCTTCGGGGTGGCGGGGTCGGGCATGTGCTTGGGTTGGGCGCACCCCTGTTGCCACACCGCCTCTTGCAAACAGCCTGCTGCTAAGGATTTCATGATTTCTGCCCCATGCCAGGGACTGCTATGGATGGCATGTACGGTGAGGTTATGCTTCATCAGCATTAAAGCAAGGTTTAGTAGGATGTATTCAAGGTGTGTGGCACCAGTGTATGTACGGTCATCAACGCAAAGTGGGCAGCATTTTGTTTTCCGGGATCAAGCGTTTTCACAAAACGGGAACTGCATCACGTAGGCAATTTAGGGGGGGGGGGGCGTACGCATTTCGCGTACATCAGTACGTCATGTTGTGTTCCTTTCGTAGGTGCGTTCGCGAAGACAAGCCTAATCGGGCATGATAGAGCTGTCCGTTGTGGTTGAGGCCAGGCGAGGGGCTACATGGTTGCTATTAGATTTGCATCGCGTGTTAGCCTAGTACGCTCCTATCGCTCAGAAAGTCAGGCCAGAAAAGCTGCAATTTTGGAGCAGGAGCTGCCAAAGTGCATGTCGCTATCACAGTCAAACAACTCACAAGCCGCAAGCGGGCAATGAATGACTCGGCAGACTGACAAAGTAGCAAAGAGGCGGGCAAGCGGCTTGCGTAGGCATCCGCGTGGGCAAGCAAAGCGCAAATACGCAGGAAACGCGAATGCTTGAGCCAAGCTCTCCTTGCAGGACCTTCAGAAGCAGTTAGAAGCTGTGCAGGGAAGGAAGCAGACGACGTCATTTGAAATCGATGAGACGGCGTTGCTTGGATCCAACAGATTGCGGGCCGTTGGGTTCCTTTCGGCAGGGTCCAAGCCAATCTCCTAGGAGGGTAGGCTGGGTGACAAATAAGCCTCATGCTTGAGCAATGATAGCAATGCGAAGAGTGTTAGTTGTGCTCCCAGCTGCAGGTACAAGACGGTCAGCTATGTTGGGATCGGCAGTTGGCAGTTGGCAGTTAGCAGTTGGTTTCATTGGTCAGTGATTGGATGCAGTACTCATGGCTTGCACCAGCTACTGGTGAACTCCGGGCGGGCTGTGCGACTTCAGTTTCTTGCAAAATTCGGTGGCAAATTCGGAGGTCTCACTGTAGCGGGGGTGGTCAGAGGTCCGGAACGGTTCGCACCCCGAACGTGCCCTAGCCACTTGTCAAGTCCAATTTCTTCGTTCTTGAAACTGGAAGCCAGTTCAACAACTGGAAGCCGTTAACACTATCCGACCCTTGTTCAGACATTGTTTGGTTGCGTTGTGTCCCAATCGTGCATTCCAGCCCCTCAGACAGCAAGCATTTGCGAGCTGAGGCTGATTCATGTGAAGCCAGCTTCGAAAGGAGAGCAAGTCGCTGGGATTATCCATGTGCAGTTTGATGGCTTGGACAACGTGGTCAGTCCAATGCTTGGCACCTGCCTAGCTTTCGGATGCCCACACTCACAAGCAGAAGTCACTGACAAGGAATACTTGTATTCCTGCTTGGGCAGTTCTTTTGGCTAGATTGGGTCATAGGCGGGCTGGCGAATTGGGTTGCCATAAGGAACTGCTCCTACCAGGCTATGCAGATCTTCAAGTCAGGTAATCTACGGGTGGAAGTGCATACCCCTTGTTCATACCGCTTGGCTTCCCTGGTTTCCAGGCCACTTCATAAGGGGGGCGCCTTTTCTTGGGAGAGGGGTATGATCATCAGCAGGCCTTTTGGGTTCATTCGTTCAAGGGGTATGTACAAGCACCGCTGGAGTAATCTAGCATCCCAGTTGCCGGTTCGCCGTCTCCAAAGAAGGTTCCTGCATCCAAGCCAACAAGAACTGAGGGCCAGCCAGTGGCACCAGCAACCAATGGCCATGCAGCGTTTACTTGGTGATTTGGTGAAAAAGAAGCTCATATCCAGGAGCAGGCTGGTTCGAGTTTCTTTCAATGCATTGAACACCTGTCAGAGAGATGTCATTCTGTGGAGGTTCTGGAACTCGCGCCAGTGATTGCTCAGATTCCCTATTCCAACAAATTTGGCCGCCTTTCAGAGGGATGTTTGGGCCATGAGAGTTGAGCACGCAGGATCACAAGGCGGGTTGGTCAGTGTGCTGAAGAGCGACCGCACCTCCAGAAACTCGCTGTGCTCTGAGAACAGGCGGGGTTGCCAGACTTTGGGTCGACATGAGCAGTGTTCAAAAGTCAGTCTGACGGCTTCTTGTGGCACCATACTTGAGTGAGGAAATAGTTGTCAATATTGTTCTGTAGACTGCGCGGACGTGGTACCTATCGCCGCTGGTGCATGGGATGGTAACTCAATGATAACTCGATTGGCAGGTTCAAGGTTGCACGATAGATTGCAGGCTACATCTGAATTGCCTCCATTCGCTTGCGTCACGTGACGCTGCTCCTTCTTGTTCTAAAAAACACAAAAACACATGCAGCGTCAACGTGCAATGTGGCTTCTGAAGATCAGGGGTTGCGGTAAATATGTCTCAGCATCGATACGCTTCAATGATCGGCCCAAAGCGTCCATGAGATTGTGATGTATTGTGTTGGAGGGGCGGGCATTTCCTGTGTGAGACCCAGAGGTTGTACGTCCCTTGAGGCAGACGCCCAGACGCAGACAGACACACACACACACACACAGAGAGGCACACAAAAAGATACAGACACTGCAGATACACAGGCTCACAGACCCACGCACAGAGACACAGAGGTGTACACGCACACACACGTATTGCAGACACGTAGGCGTACTGACGCAAGACATACACACAGACACACGCACAGAAAACAGAGACAGACAGAGGCACAGAGGGACATACAGGCACACGCGGGCACACACACGCACAATCACAATCACAGACGCAATGCTTATACCATGTGTATCTATGTATACACTACACACACACACACACACACGCAGGAGCACGTGCCCACACAGAC